GGCAAATGGATTGCATTAGCCTGAGAGAAAGATTGCATCATAGAGAAGGGATCTTGCTGAAGGACTGAATATTGCTTCCAAGATTTTGTTAAAATTGAAGTATAGTTGGTTTACAGTGTTGTGTTAGTTTCCAGTGTACAGCAAAGTGATTCAGATATATATATATATATATATATATTCTCTTTCAAATTTGTTTCCATTATAGATTATGACAAGATATTAAATATAGTTCCCTGTGCTATACAGTAGGTCCTTTTTGTTTATTTTATATATAGCAGTGTGTATCTGTGAATCCTAAACTCCTAATTTATCCCTCCCCACCCACCTTCCCCCTTTGGTAACCAAAAGTTGTTTTCTGTGTCTGTGAGTCTTTCCGTTTTGTAAATAAGTTCATTTATATCATTTTTTTAGATTCCACATATAAGTGATATCATATGATATTTGTCTTTCTCTGTCTGACTTACTTCACTTAGAATGATAATCTCGAGGTCCATCCATGTTGCTGCAAATGGCATTATTTCATTCTTTTTTATGACTGAGTAGTATTCCAATGTCTCTTGTACACCACATCTTCTTTTCCCATTCATCTGTTGATGGACATTTAGGTTGCTTCCATGTCTTGGCTATTGCAAATAGTGTTGCTATGAACGTTGGGGTGCATGTATCTTTTCGAGTTAGAGTTTTCATCTTTTCCGAATATCATCCATGATTTTTAGGGGCTGTATCTTGAGCTGGGAAAACAAAACCATGAAGACAGAGTGAGGAGTCATTCTGGCCTCCTTTGGGTTCACTAGTCACATTGGAAACTTATATGTCCCTGTGATGGTGGGAGACACTTGGACTTGATTTTCCTCCCATGTTGTTTCTCAAAATAGAGCCTCAGAAATATTCATGTAGGACTGCCTTGGCCTGGATGGCAAATAATTTCTACTCATATGGGAATTCAGACTACTTACTAGCAGTTTCCTGAAGTGTTGTGATAAGCAGGTTCTAAGCAGGCTCGGTGGGCAGGGGCACTGTCAGGGCTCAGTCATGTCTTAGCCCTGGTGGCAGTGGGCTCATTATCTTGCTGACCTTGTGAAGACTCCAGAGCCCTGGGGAGGAAACTTGTACCCTGGGGCTCCTGGTTTGTCCTCTGATCACTTGCTCCCTTGTACATTCTGCTGTTGTCTATTTCCAGTGCATCCCCTCCCACCACCTCTGGCTTGCCTTCCTCAAAGCCCAGCACTGACCCCTCTGCCAGGGCAGCCTTCTCTTCTCTGTCTCTCCACCTGGCACTGAACCATGGAGCAGGTACTGGGAGAGTAAGGTTTTCAGGTGTTTCTGCATTTTATCCCATGTGAAAGGGGCCATGGTTTCACCTGAGAGAGAGACATGGACCTTACAAGGACCCTGGAGGCACCTCTTAGGTTTAGAACTTGCCCAAGAAGGATCTGCTATCTTGGCTCAGTGATAACATGACCTTGCTGGATCAGGCTCAGAATTGGTTGCCCTGAGCTCCTTGGGGTAATTGTAACTCTAGAAAAGGAAGTTGCCTTTTTGTTTTACTTCCTTGCATCTTCATAGCTGGAGGTGCAAGGAGAACACTGAAGCCTTTTTTTTTTTTTTTTTTTTTTGTCTTGCTGCAAAGCTTGAGGGATCTTAGTTCCCCCACCAGGGATCTAACCTGTGCCTCCTGCAGTGGAAGTGTGGAGTCCGAACCGCTGGACTGCCAGGGGATTCCCTGAAGACTTAACTGAGCCTCGACTCAGCTTCAGCCAGTTGCTTTAGTGTGTGGAGGTGAGATATGAATATTTCAGGTCAGCCTGTTTCTACTAAACATGGGCCCAGCACGGCCAGCACCTCTCTGGGACATGTAACAGAGTGCTGGCTCTCAAGGAACACTGTCTATATGGGGGGAAAGGCATGTTTGTAGGAAATGGTTAAGTCACATAAGGCTAGATGCATTTGTGTCATGCTGAGTGAGATTTTGGTCTGTAGGATGTACTATGAGGTTGGTGCAGTTGAAAGGAAAGGAAGGCAGGATCAAGGAGAGAGGTGACAGTGATAAAAGAAGTGCATGTGGGGAGTTGGTAAGAAAAGTTTACAGGAAGAGAAAGCTATCCAAGCCAGTGTCCTTGTGTCCTGGCCCAGGGTTATTCACCTGGGAGAGAAGGGTTTTGAAAGACCTGAAAGTTTGCAGGGTTGATGCTTTTGGTCATTTCTTCCAGAATCCTAACAATGACTTACATTCACAATGTTATTTAAATCTCAGGGGACACTGAGTGCTGTTACTAATAGTTTGGTAGTAGTTTGGAATATGGTCCATAGACAATAGAAAATATAATTATGATCAGCACTTAGGTCCACATCAGAGCTGTAAACTAATCTGAGAAATGACACAGTTTTGAAGTATAAGATAGGAGAGTAGCCAGTACTGGTAGCCCTCCTTCCCACATCTTCCACGGATAGAAGGGACAAGGTCGAGCAAGAGCAGTATGGCTTTTATTTTCCATGTACTTGTCTCTGTGTGAATTCAAGAGGGCGGCCAACGTTCCTACCTGCCATTTTTTTCAAAAGGAGCAAAACTCCTCATACTTACCTGTAATAAGACTCAATTCCATGGAAGTCCTGAACCTGTTAGGACTTCACTGGGCATGAACCTCACTGGGCATGAGAATGGTATTTGTGGACCATATGCCTTGGCCTCCTTCCCTTGGTAGGTCCCCAATACTCCAGATGGCCCCTAAATTGGCTAGTGTAATGAAGCAGATGGTGAGCAGGGGAATATCCAGGAGGCTACAGCCTATCTTTTTCCTGTTTAACCCACGTACAGGGGCTGATCAAATGAAGCACTGTTAATGTCTGGACCAGTGATACCCAAACTTTAGAGTGCATTAGAACTCCTGAAATGCTTGTTAAAACACAGATTGTTCAGCTCTAATTCCAGAGTTTCTCATTCAGGAGATCTGTGGGTGGGGCCTGAGAATTTGCATTTCTAACCATCATTCCAGATGCTGCTGATTCAGACACCACATTTTTTGAATCACTGACCTAAGCTATTGGTTTCCAACCTTGCTGGCTGCATATTGGAATTGCTTGGGAAATAAAACAATAAAGCCCAGACTATATCTCATATCATTTTCAACAGAATCTATGTGGGTGGCACCAGACATCAATATTTTTAAAGATCCCCAGGTGAATTAGTCAGTAAGGAAACACAAAGTAAAACCACTATAAGAGGCCACTAGATCTCTATTGTAATGCTCAATTTAAAAAGAAAAAGAAAAAAGAACTGATCAGATCAAGTGTTGGCGAGGATGTGGAGGAAAAAGACTCATACACTGCTGGTGAAAATGTAAGATGTGCATCCACTTTAGAAAATGGTTTGCTGGATTCTTTAAGAGTTAAATATGTGCTTACCATATGATACAGCCATTCCACTCCTAGGCAGCTATCCAAGAGAAATAAAAGCTTATGCATCTGTGCATATAAAGAAGTGTACATGAATGTTCTTAGCAACTTTGTAATAGCCATAAACAAGAAACCACCTGAATATTAATAAGTGAATAGATAAAAAAATGTGGTGTATTCAAATAATTGAATACTGCTCACTAATAAAAACATACTTAAAAAAAGCTCCCCAGGTGATTCCAATGTGCAGCCAAGATTGAGAATTACTGATCTAGGTTCTTGAGACAGAAGGCTGTTAATGTAGGTGTACTAGATAAATACAGTAGAACCAAATGTCTCCCACTCTTGGTCTGTGGCAGGATACTCTCGTAGTATGGACATCTTTCCTTGGGATGAATGCAGGTGGCAGTGATTGTGATGGTGGGTCATGGCTTGGACAGAGGTTCAAGCAGAATGAAGAAGGTTGAAACAGCAATCATGAAAATGGTAGACAAGCTGACTAGGGAAACAAGATGATTTCTAGGCAGAAGTGAAAGACCTCTGGGAAGTGGAGACCATAAATTTATTTGGGGGTTCTCCTCCAAAATGTACGATTTTCCCCACCAGCTGTCAGCAGCCTGGGCAAGGAAAATGGACATTTCAACTGATCCAGGGTTAACAAACTTCCAATGCAGTTGCAGACAGTAGGGCAAAGGAGTTAAGGATATTGGTGTGAGAATGGCTAAAGTGATGGACCCTATAGTCTAGGGCCTAATCCCATGAACTCAAGCAAAAGCTTTCTTTGCCCCTTTCTTTCTTTTTTTTCCTGATAGGTTGTGTACTAGATATATACATAATATCACTTTCTGTGAGTAGTCACTCCCTTCCCTATTCCATAGGATTATGGTGAGGCAAACACAGAAGCCTGCCCCCACAATTGGGGCAGACAAGTGCCCCAGATTTGGCTAAACCTACTATCCCTTTCCCCTGAATACAATGATTAGTCCAGGGGTGAGCACCAGACCTAAACAAGGCCAATCATAGTCCTTCCCTGTAACTGATATTTGGGAGGGGTGTCATAGTTTGAGGCAACATTAGATAGGATGGAAGGCTTCTCCTATGCAGTTACCTTTGAAGTGAGACCTGAAAAACAAGAAGCAGAGGAAGTAACAAGCAGAAAGGTGCTGAGTTGAGAAGGGTCAAGCTGTTCAAGAAATAAGGAGGCTAGGGGAGAATGCCGTTCCCATTGCCGGAACCGCTGTACCCTTCACCCTTGACCCGGGTAATTCCCGCTCAACCTTCAGATTTCAGCCCAAACATCACTCCCTCCAGTAAGCCCTCCTTGACGTCAAGAGCGGGTCTCCCTTCGCCCCCAGCAGATGACTGGCCTGTTCCTAGGATGTAGGGGTCTGTGTTTACCAGACTCGTGTAGTTCAAGGGAGGGAGTGACGGGATAAGGGATGCAGGGGGGCGCGTGATCTCTGCCCGGTGAGAAAGCGAAGCCAACTTTCAATTTCTCAAGTCCAGATCAATGCTTGGGGAGCGACAGCAGCGCGCAGAGCGGCCGATCCCAGGGCGGAAGTGCATCCCTGGAGCCTTTCTAGGAAACTCGGAGGACCTAGCTCGTCAGTGATCCTGGGGCTGAAGTGGGGCATCGCCAGGCGCACAGGGCCACTTCAGAGAGCTGGTGTGGCAGGGCAGCGGCGAGATGGGGCTCGGGTGAGCGCGAGAACCGGCGCAAAGCAAGCCTGAAAAGGGTGAGGAGACCCCGGCCTGCCGACCACCTGTTCCTCCTGGGAGTGCGGCGCGCGTTGATTGGCTGGAGTGCCGACCGGGTACCGGAAGTGGCTGATGCCCATAGCCAGTGAAACCCAGACAACAGCTGCGGGTTCTGAGGCAGCGGGCGGAGCAGCGCGGGGAGCCCGCGGGGAGCGCGTGTGGGGCGGTAGCTGCCTGAGGTGAGAACTCATTCTGTCCCGGCCGGGGGTGGAGGGTGCTGCGCTCCCGAACCCCTGGCCCACGAGCCCCGCGAAAACCCGACGTTTAGGCCCGTGCCTGACCCGGGTTCGCTCTGTGACCTTGGGCTTTATGGTCTCCCCACCCCGCACCGGGTCCCCACCGGCACATACCCTGGACGCGGCCAGGGCCCGTCTCCGTCCTGGTTCCCTGCCTGTCAGCCGCTGGCACAGGAGCAGCAGGGACACCCCCTTCCGCGGGGGTGTCCTTACGTGGGGGATGATGGGAGCTGTGGTTTCCTCTGACATTCCATCCCCAAGTAAGCTGCGGGGACGAAATGGCGGGCAGTGTCATAAACTTCAGGCCTCCTGGCAGACTGTGCCCAGGGCCGGATATTGGTTTAAGAGGGTTAGTTACGGAAAGGAGACAGATTTCAGTGCAGAGTTAATAGAGCCTTTTGATTGTGGGAACCAGGAGGACAGAGGAAGAGAGGATAACAGTGCTTTAAATTAAGTGTCATCCAGATTGGCAGAAGGAACTTGTTTTTACAAATAGTTATTGATGTCAGCTATGTGTCAGACACCGATCTAGGCTCTTTAGATACAAAATGAATGAACTATCCAGTTAGTCCTCAAGGGTGTCACAGATTAGTTATGTAAATAAGATATTTACACAAATTCATTTAGCAGGTACCCGAAATGTGCTTGGCGCTGGGAATATCAAGATGAATAGAACATCATCCTTGTTCATGGTCTGAAGAAGGAAGCAGAGATGAAAATAGAGTAACAGTACAATGAGGTAGCTGCAACAAGGTGAAGGAGCCTTAGGGACAGAGAAGAAGACAGAGGGGACTCTCTGTGTCTGAGCTGAGTCTTGTAGATGTTTGTTAAGTGTAAAAGTGGGCAGTAGTATTCCAGGAAGTGGGAATAGCCTGTTCTCAAAGGCAGAGAAGCTTTAAAGAATAAGAAGTGTTTGAACTGCAGCACCCTGAGCATGACTGCAGCTCCCACCTGTCATTGGAGAGCATGGGACAGGAGATGGGAAGGGGCCTGACCAGGAAGGCATGATGAGCCATGTTAAGAAGTTTTTATTCTGTAGCCATTGGAGAGCAGTGAACAGGAAGCGACACGATAACTGTAGTACAAAGAAAGAGGTGAGTGAAATGATGATTCAGAGGACCAAGAGATAACCTCCTTCCTGCAGGTGTAAGTGAAGACTTTGGGGAGGAGGTGATCCTTGTACTGGATACTGAGTATTTAGTAGGATCTGACCTTTCAGAAGTTAAGGGAAAGTATTTTTATGAATTAAGATGCTTTTGTCTATAAGTCACAGGATACAATTCAAGCTGACCTAAAAAATACAAGTGTATAAGCTCTCATAATTGGAAGTCAAGAGGTGAAGTGGTTTCAGGAATGACTGAATCTAGTGGCCCTGCTGGCTCCATTTCCCCTCAGTTTTTTCAGCTCGTCCTGCCTTCATCCACAGCTGGTAGTGAAATGGCAGCAGCGGTTCCAGGCAACAATATGTAGAAGTCTCTTCTGTGGTTCTCTCAGGACGGCAGGAAACTATTCCCAGAAGTTCCCAGCAAACTTCCTCAGAGTATCACTGACCCAGATGAAGGCATTTGTCCATTCCTGAAACAATCCCTACTGTTCTGAACAGTTACTGGCAAGGGGAATGGTATTAACTTAACTGGGTTAACTCATTTGGAGCTCACTCCTGGAGCTCTTGGGTGAGGTCAGATCTCCTGCAAAGAGTGCGAGGCCACTGCAAACTTTTTTGCTCAAATATCCCATAAAATAATTTGAAAAGCTTTGTGTATCCCCTTACATGTTTGTAAGTTGACATCCAAAATATTTCATCATTTTTTCATCATGAATTTGAATAGTTGCAAAGGATGTTACTTTTGGTATGTTATAAATTTTGACATTTCAAAATTAAACGTCATGCCAATTGGCAGGATTCCTGCCCTTGGATCTGTGTGCTCACCACATCCTTCACCCTGTCTGTAACCTCCACTCTTCTCTCCTTCCCCCACTTCATTTGTCTCCCTGTCTCACTTGGTCATCTCAACTGTGTCCTGGCTAACATCCTCAAGTCCCTCACTTTCTCATTCTTCCACCACACGTGTCCCCAGATTCCCAGCCTGCTCTGGGGCTGTCAAAAGTGTTGCTGGAGAAAGTCAGGAAAGCACTCCGATGGGCTGATTTCGCTCCTCTCTACACTGATGTCTCCAGCATACTTGTCTCAGCAAGAGGTTGTAAGGGTGTAACAAGAGAATGTGTGTAAGTTGCTTGGCACATAGTAAGAGCTTTCATTACTCCCCAGAAGGTTAGTGCTCCCCAGAAGGTTAGTGCATCCTCACTTATCTTCTCTCCTTTACCCCAACTCTGCACATGCTACATTGAGGTCAGAATGTTCTTTCTGTTCTTTTTCTTATTCCTCCTATACTTCTTAGTCTCTGAGGCTTTGCTCACCCCATGCTCTGCCCAGAATGCTGTTAAGTGCAGTAGTCTTCAAATGACATATATTGAGGGAGTCCACAAACATTTTCTATAACATCTGTAAGTGCATGGATTGTTGAATGGACATCAGTCTCTAGATCCTTGACTTCAGTTTGTACCCTTGCCTACCACCAGTGTGCTTGAGAGTGGATCTGTGGCCTATAGATTTCTCTTTTCCACCTCCTTTTTCACAATTGCTCTTTTCCTCCTTTACAGAAGAAAGACATACCTCTCACCCATGCCCTCCTTAATTTTACTATGGCATATCACTCTGGGGTGGAAAAACCTCTGGAGTGCCACACAAGGGGACAATTTACTGAGGGAGTAAATGATTCTTGGACCTTTTATAACTCAAGTCCCAATCTTTGCTTTTTTTAAAATTTTTTATTTTTTCCAATCTTTGCTTTTAACAACATTTTAAAAAGACCTAATCAGGCTGTCAGCTGATAGATTATTCAATGATTTTTTTACTAAAAATCACAATATGTTTCTGGCAGATGAGTTTAGAGGATTAAGTGATATTGCTATCCCAAGAGATTGCTGTAAACTCTGATTTAGGCAGTTTGGGCAAACTCAGGTCCAGTCACGGTAACTAGGGTCAGTCTGATAAGCGTAATGGAAATGTGACCTAGTCAGTTGTATTATATTCCCTGTCTGCTCCCAGAAGTTTAGGGTAGGGTTGGGGGAGGGGTCAAGTTGGAGGGCAGGAAAAAAGAATGCAGAGCAAGAACTGGCAGTGTTATCTGTAATCCTGCTGCTTTGCACATGTGTTGATCTGCTTGGTGGACCAGACCTTGGTAGAGATGGATGCACCAGACTGAGAGTTAGATAACTCCAGTCACTCAGACTGTCTAACACAGTGGTTCCCAAACCTGATAGGGCATCAGAATCACCTGGGCACTTGTTAAAAATACACATTCCTTTGCCTACTCCTGGAGATTCTGACTCTGAGAGGTCTGATGTGGGACCTGGAAGTTAGTATTTTTAGAGATTTTCCAGTTGACTTTTCTTCATCTAACCTAATTCCAGGCCAAGAATCATTATTTAAGCATTGTTCATTAAAAAAAAAAAAAAATCTTCCTGCTATGATTGTAAGCCAACTAAACAATTTTTAGGGTTTTATGTGGTGGCTTCTCATGTAGACAGTATGGTCCTTTTGAAGTTTTATTTCTCATGGTTAATTAATAGGTGGATATTTGGTTTATGCATCAGTATTTTGTGAATGAGGATTTCTGAGTGCATTGAAAAAAAAAAATTCCAGATCTGCAGAGTTGAAGACCCTATTCTGAACTATGGAGACCCAGTAGATGCTTGTCATCCCCCAGACTGAGGACCAAGAGTGGTCCTCCTACTCCTAAGATGGCACATCCATCTTATCTCTCTCCAGAAACAACTAATTTCAAATTTAGAAAAGTGGAGAAGTGACAAACATAAGAAATTATGTTTGGAAATTTAAATTTATGCTATGAGTAATAGAGTGTTTCTATATGAGGACGAGGTCTAATGTGTATCTGTGCCTCTGGAAAATCAACCAAAAGGAGAATGGCTTTGGGACTTCCCTGGTGGTCCAGTGGTTAGAACTCTGCGCTTCCACTGTAGGGGGCATGGGTTTGATCTCTGGTCAGGGAACTAAGATCCTGCATGCCGCACAGTGCATCCAAAGAAAATAAAAAGGAGGATGGCATTGATTTGTATATGAGAAGGTGTCTATTACACAAAACAATATTTAACAAATGGCATTAATATCGTGTCACTGGTGGAATGCAAAGTAAAAGAATAGTCAGAGGGGGCAAATTTTAGTTGGGGAAGACTTTCTGGACTAGAATTTTGAACCAGGTGTTGAAGTTGGGGATAGATATACATACCTAACTTCTATGTCTTGCATCTTGTTTTACTGTGGACACGTGATTTTCCATATGGTGTGGGACAGATGTGGGTTTTATGAATGCTGACTTTGTGTGGAGCTTGATGTTGGAAAAGAAGTAACTATAGGAGAGATGCTGGTGAAAAGGAAAGGCCAGCGAGGGGGTCAGAAGTAGATAGGGACTGAAATACCAGCTTGTAGAACTTGTTCTTGGCTGAGCATTAGAGAGAAATTTATTTAAGACAGTGCGTTCTAACTCAAATAGTACGATGGATGAAAATAGCTAAATTCTCTACAATGGATTCTTATGGTTACATAGGTACACATTATCTATAATTTTCAAAAATTTCAGTGAAAAGGAGAAATCCAGTTTTTGTGTGCCTGCCCTTATTCCAGGGGAAAATTAGAGAAGGCGCTGAGTGGAGGAAAGTTGAAGAAGATTCCAGGTCATTTTTAGGGGTAGCACAAAGAGCTTCCAACACTTCAGGATTTCAGTAGGAGATCAGGTTCCTTCCAGGTGTCAGGAAAGAGGGCTTACCAGAGCTGCACCCCTGAGTGATTAGGGAGGCCAGAGGGTATGATCCTGTGGATGACTGGAGGCTGGGCAGAGAAAAGGGGCAGTACAAAGGGCACCCCAAAATCACCCCTTTGCCCTTCCCTCACCACTTGACCCCAGTCTCTCCTGCCTCTCAGGATCTTCATTTCTTCAGTAATCTCATCTTTTCTTCCCTCTTAACCTTTCTCTCTACTGGCACCATCCTTTCTGATATAAACATGTTCAAATCTCTACCATCAGAGAAAATTCTTCTTTGACTTTCTTTGACCATTTACACTACTGCCCATCTTGGTCCTCTCCTTTCACCCAGATTTTTTGAAAGAAGCAGCAAATTAATTAATCAGTCCACTGCCACCTGGCTTCTGCTTCTGTCATTCCATTGACTCTGTTTTTACATGTCATCTGTGACCACCTAATTGTCCCAGCAGACGTTTTCCAGTTCTTATCCTACTGGATCTATCAACTGTGTGTGACGCTTTGTAATTCCCTCTGCCATTGCCTTGGTGACTTATATGACACTTTTTCTGGTTCTTCTCCTACTTCACTAACCATTCTTTCTCTTCTTGGCAGGCTTCTCTTCCTCTGCCTACCCCTTTATCATTAGGGTCCTAACAGGAAACAGGTACTTTGCTCAAATTAGGATAATTTGAGAAGGGTTTATTTGCAAAGAAGTTAATATAAAAGATGTAGGTGTAGGCAGGGTACTGAGGAAAGCTGGGATTGGCAATAGCAGAGTAGTCACCAGCCCTAGGCCAGAAGAGGCAAGAGGTAGGGGAGGGCCTGGAGCCCACAGAGACAACTGGGTAGGATGATTCCTTGAGAGGAGTAATGAACTTCAATTGAGGGACACCATGAACCCAAGGTGATCTCATAGGAAGGAACCAGGAGGATAAATACTCTGACCTCACTGTCCTCCCTCCTTCCAGCCTCCTGCTAGGGCTCCCCATTGGTGGAACACAACTGGAAGCCAGAGGGCCCCTTGATGAGTGCTATATAGGTTACCTTCTGGGGCAGAGAGCAGGGTGAAGAAAAGTTGAAAGATCTGGAGGGGAACATGGAAGTTAACTGGAGTACTCTTCAATGTTGGCCTTGGCTTTCTAGGTTTCTGTCTTCAGTATCTGACAGTTGTCACAACTATACTCATTATTGTCTATGCTGAGTTCTCTCAAGTCTGTATCTTTAGTCCTGACTGCTCGAAGCTTTAGACAAATATATTTTGACTGATTCCTTGGTACTTCTGTATGGATGTGTTGAAACTCATCTTGTCCAAAACACAGCTCATTTATCATCTTCCCCCCTAACCTAGCTGCTCCTCAATATTCCCAACCTTGGTGGTATCACTATCCATCTAATTACACCTTCCTTACACCTATATCCAATCATACCCCAAGTCTTAGAGAATTTGTCCTCTCAAGCACTTCTCTAGTCTGTTTCCTCTTCATTCACACTACCACTATTACCCTAGTTAGATCTCATCACCCTTTGCCTTGATGACTGCATCAGACTTCTAACTGATCTCCTTTATGTCCTTGTCTGCTGCTTTCTGGTTCAGCCACTAAATGGCCACTTGTGTATATCTACCTGAAATGCTAATCTGACTTTGAACTGTGTCATTCCTTGGCTTAAAAACCATTCCATGACTCTGCAATATAAGGATGAAGTCCCATAGCTGCCCCATTCCCCCTTGAGAATCACCTTCTGCAATTAACACTTTTATTGATGGGAGGATTGTGTTGCTCAGATTTGCTGTGGTGCACAGATGCACTGCTCTAGGCAAAGGGCCTCTCCTCTTCAATATTAGCTCCCGGTTGCTTAATACCTGAACAGAAGCTGGGCTCATTTCCCCAGCATTTGGATCTTCTGTGAGGGGACAGCTAAATCCCTGGGGCCATTGTACCAATTAGGAGCAAGTTTCGCTTCATAAATTAAAAAACCATAATAGCTTAAGCAAGGAAAAAGCTTGTTTCTCTGTTAGATAAAAGAAGTCCAGAGGCAGGCGTTCCAGGGCAAGTATGGCAGCTCCACAGAGACATCAGGGACCCAGGTGCCTTCCTGTTCTTGTCCCACTGTAAGGTATGCTGGTGAACTCATGGTCCAGGATGGCACTTCAGCTATCACTTCATGCCCCAGGCACAGCACAGAAGAGGGTGAAGAAATGTATCCCCTTACTTTTAAGGAGATATCCCAGAAGTCCCTTGTGCTGTCATTTGCATTTTACTGTCTCATTGGCCAGAAGCTAGTTACATGGCCAAATCTAGCTGTAAAGAAGGCTGAGAATATATTTCTTTAGGCAGCCTCATTGCTACAAAAATAAATTCATTATTCTGTTGCTGCTGAGGTGGGGAAGAGTGGAGATTGGGATAGACAACTAAAAATCCTTGCCACAGCCTTTTAGAAGTTTTAAAAAAGTATAGGCTTTAAGATTTATAAAAGTGCTAAGAGGGGCTTCCTTGGTGGCGCAGTGGTTAAGAATCCGCCTGCCAATGCAGGGGACACGGGTTCGAGCCCTGGTCCAGGAAGATCCCACATGTCGCGGAGCAACTAAGCCGTGCGCCACAACTACTGAGCCTGTGCTCTAGAGCCTGCGAGCCACAACTACTGAGCCCACGTGCCACAACTACTGAAGCCCGCACACCTAGAGCCTGTGCTCTGCAACAAGAGAAGCCACCGCAATGAGAAGCCTGCGCACCGCAGCGAAGAGTAGCCCCCGCTCGCCGCAACTAGAGAAAGCCCACGCACAGCAACGAAGTCCCAGTGCAGCCAAAAATAAATAAAATAAATTTTTAAAAAACTAAAAAAAAAAAGTGCTAAAAAAATTGTATAAAGGGACCAATTAGAATGTTAGTAAGTAAAAATCAACAACATTGCTATATGTATGTATATATATATGTGTATACACACACACACACACACACACACACATATATATAATAACAACCAGTCAGAAAATATAAGAAAAACTCACTAAAAGAGAAGACATACAGAAACGTGATGGATATAAAAACATCAGGGTAAGTTTGGAAATTTTACAAAATTATACTAAAATTTATTTGGAAAAATAGAATAGACAGGAATATTTGAAAAAGAAGACTAACAAGTGAGCACTTTCTCTAACATATTAAAAAATTTAAAGCTACAGTAGGTTGAACAGTTTGGTGTTAGAGAGGGAATAGATCAATAGAACTGAATGGAGCCTGGAAATTGACCCAGATATATATGGAACTTTAGACTATGGTATAGGAGGCATTTCAAATTAGTAGGGAAAATTAGGTATTGATACAATTTAGTAACCATCTAGAGAAAAGCTAGAACCATACTTTATCCAAATATACGGGAGCCAAGGGTGGTTCCTTCTGTCCCTGTTATAGCTAAGTCACATTAACCTTTTGAATAGGTAATGCCTACAACATATACAATCCCCTATTCTCTAGAGCTGGTGAGCGCCACAGAACTGGGCTAAAGATATTTCTTCTTGCTACTCATTTCTGGTTTCTTCCTCTATAAACCCAAAGGTTATATTAGTCATTTTTGTCCCTTTCCCAACCTTTTCCATATACCATCTATTAATATGGCCACAATTTTCCTTAAATGTTTTTATTACCAACCTCAGGTTCTGCCTCAATTCACTGTTAATATTATGGAACTTTTATCAGCATCTTCTTACCATCCATTTTCTATTCTCTCTTTAAATCTTTTCCTCTGATAATTTCCCTCACTCTTCTCAGTCAGCGTCTGCTCTTTGTGTAGCATGTCCACCATAATCCTAAATCTTTCTCTTCTCTTCAACAGCGTCCTGTAATCTCACCAGATACAGAGAGTGCTTTTGGGTGCTGTCAGAACCATGTCAAGCTCCATACTCCCTAGTATTGGCTTCATTTAGCTGTGATACAGCCACTTCACAGACTTACCCTCTCTCATTTCAGATTGTGAGATGGGGACTGAGAACAAGGAGGTAATTCCCAAGGAAGAAATTTCTGAAGAATCTGAACCACATGGGGCAATATTAGAAAAACTTCCAAAGGTGGTTTATCAGGGTCACGAGTTTGGAGCAGCATGTGAAGAAGACATATTTGAGGAGCATTCCAGAGAGTCCACAGAAGAGGTTCTGGAGCAGGTGTCCCCTGAGGAGAGAGACTTTGCACCAGGGTTGATTATCTTTAAGAAATCACCCTCAAGTGAGAAAGACCATGAGAATAATGAAAGTGAGCGAGCCTACAATCCTAGCTCAAACCTGACCACGTACCAGGGAGATACTACGGCAGAGGCAGTTAGCACATTTGCTGCTTCTGGCCAAAACTTCATAGAGAATTTAGGACCTAATAAAACACATAGAAATTCTCTGGGAGAAAAGCCTCATACATGTAAAGAATGTGGGAAAGCCTTTAATCAAAACTCACATCTTATTCAGCATATGAGAGTTCATAGTGGAGAGAAACCCTTTGAATGCAAAGAATGTGGAAAAACATTTGGAACTAACTCAAGCCTTCGAAGGCACCTGAGAATTCATGCTGGAGAGAAGCCCTTTGCTTGTAATGAATGTGGAAAGGCCTTCATTCAGAGTTCACATCTCATCCACCATCACAGAATTCACACTGGAGAGAGACCTTATAAATGTGAAGAATGTGGTAAAGCCTTCAGTCAGAATTCAGCCCTTATTCTACATCAGAGAATCCACACTGGGGAGAAACCATATGAATGTAATGAATGTGGGAAGACCTTTAGGGTTAGCTCACAGCTTATTCAGCATCAGAGAATTCATACTGAAGAAAGATATCATGAATGCAATGAGTGTGGCAAAGCCTTCAAGCATAGCTCAGGCCTCATTAGACACCAGAAAATTCATACTGGAGAAAAACCCTATCTGTGTAATGAATGTGGGAAAGGCTTCGGTCAGAGTTCTGAGCTCATCCGGCATCAGAGAATTCATACAGGAGACAAACCGTATGAATGTAATGAATGTGGGAAAACTTTTGGCCAGAACTCAGAGATTATTAGACATATTAGAATACATACTGGTGAGAAGCCCTACGTATGTAAGGAATGCGGGAAGGCCTTTAGGGGAAACTCAGAACTTCTTAGACATGAGAGAATTCACACTGGAGAGAAACCCTATGAATGCTTTGAGTGTGGAAAGGCTTTTAGGCGGACCTCTCACCTTATTGTCCACCAGAGAATTCATACTGGAGAGAAACCTCATCAGTGTAATGAATGTGCCAGAACCTTTTGGGATAACTCTGAGCTGCTTCTCCACCAGAAAATTCACATTGGAGAGAAACCTTATGAATGTAATGAGTGTGAGAAAACATTCAGCCAGCATTCCCAACTTATCATACATCAGAGAATTCACACTGGAGAGAAGCCTTATGAGTGCCAAGAATGTCAGAAGACCTTTAGTCGGAGTTCTCACCTCCTCCGACATCAAAGTGTTCACTGTATGGAATGATCTGCAAAGCATGAAAGCCTTCTGTGGAAAAGCTGAAGTCAGACTTATTGTTCTCAGTCTGTACCCCAAGTTCTCAGATCAAATGAATAGACAGAACCTCCTCTGTCCTTTCACTGATTTTTATTTAAACAGTTGGTCAAAAAGGATGAGGCACTTTTATGAACTATTCATTGAGAAGTTTCAGTGTACTGAGTTAAATCATAAAAGCTGTTTCAGGCCTTACTTCTCCACTATCCCTTTTTCCTTCCCTTCCTCCCTCCCCACTAGTGGATCACATAACATTAGGGGTCTTTACTGGCCATCTAGCCCAAATTGTTACTGTTCAGGAAAAATGGAGGAACATGATTCCACCACTTCCTAGGAATGACAGAGTTGACCCCTCGAATATTACCCCTGAAATGTTAAAGTCATGGCCTAGAAGACACACCTCTCTCTTTCCCACTGTTTAGCATTGGAATTTAGTAAGCTTTTATTAGCTTCGAAATCTTCCAAACTTGCTATCAAGTTCCCTTGGAAGATGGCAGCATTAATGAAGAAGCGGGAAGCTTGAGTCATTTCCCATCTCCTGCTAGGCTTCCTTAGTCATCTGAGAGGGTGCCATGATAGAGGAAACTGACAAGCAATTTATAGGATTGTAAGTGAAGGCCCTCAGAATCCAGAGGGGCTGATTAGCAAGGCCAGGGGATAAACAAGTTTCTGCATGGGCAGAAGCAGCTCTTTTGCAGCTCTTTCTCATTTCAGAGCCGTTCAGACTGAGTGCTCCCAAGAACTCTGCTGCATTCACTTTGGGCCCCAGCTTGTGTTGCTGCTGACAGATCCTGTGTCAGGAAATAACAAAGAGGACTGCAGCTTCATTGTCACTAGGCACCTGGCCACAGTGATGAGCTGGTTCACCTGACTGACCAGGACCCTGCCTTGCCAAAGCACTTAAGCTCCCATGACCTGGGCCCCACTGCTGGGGTCCCTGGCTAATAGGCCAGGATGTGACAGCCTCTTCTCAGTTTGCCCTTGGCTTTGGAATTCTCTTTCTTCAGCATTTCTACATGTGTTTTCTGTGTTCTCTTACGTGTTTTTATTTTTTCTTCAAGGAAACATCCTCAATTTTTCATGTGTCAATGTTTCTGAGGCAGTGAATGGTAGTGGGAATTGCACTAACAGGGATCCAGCTTGCTTGGGGTCTGGTCTTAGAACTAGACCTTGAATAAGGCACTTCACCTGCTGATCCCTAATTTCCTCATCTGTAAAATGAGGGGAGTTGAACTAAGTGATCTCAAGTTTCAGCTGGCCCAGTAATTCCTTTTTTCTTTTTAAAAAATTTAACTTTATATATCTTCAGTGTTTTATTCTTTAATCTCTTTATTACACTAATACTAATCACTAGTATTTATTGAATTTTTACTATGTGCCAGGCACAGTGCCAGACAGTTTACATTTTTGTTTTCACAGCCTCCCTATGGTGTGGGTACTCTTTTTTTAAAAACAAACAAAACGGCTTTATTGAGGTATAATTTACATACCATAAAATTCACCTGTTTAAGTGTTCAGTTGAATGCTTTTTAGTTAATTTACAGAGTTGCACAACCATCAGTGATGTGGGTTCTCTTACACCAATTTGAAAGGTGAGGGGCAGGGGAGAAGTCAAGTAACTTGCCCATGATCACACAGCTGGTAAGTGCTAGAGCCAAGACTCCAGCCCTGAGCGGTGCTCCTAAGCACTGTGTGGTACTGTGAATAGGTGCGTGCATTACTGCCTTATTCGAAATCCTTTGTACATTTTCTATTCATTATTAATTACTACATGAATTTGAATATAATGGATTTAAATCATGTCCTTGGAAACATAACTGGTCATAGCCAAAACCCATCAAGTGGGTTTATTCTGTACCCCAATATGTGCCCCCACCCCCGGGCTCATGCTCTTGGCTTGAGAAAAGGGCTGTACAAGTAAAACAGTTGATGGGGACTTCCTTGGCAGTTCAGTGGTTAAGACTTTGCCTTCCAATGCAGGGGTGTGGGTTCAATCCCTGGTCGGGGAGCTAAGATCCCACATGTATCAAGGCCAAAAAACCAAAACATAAAGCAGAAGCAATATTGTAACAAATACAGTAAAGACAAAAAAAAGTCCATATCAAAACAAACAGAAAAAAGCTGATTACACAGTTTCCACATCCTTCCAGGTACCTCTTTCTCTAGTAGTTAGACGTTAGTAGAAGTTCTTTAACTCATCTCTTTCCATAGGGTGTTTACAAGTGCAGTGTGCTCTCATTCCTTTTTTCATCACTCAAGCTCAAATTGAATTATACCCAAACATATCTTTCTCATGTGAAACCTGGATGTTACTTATTCCCTTACCTTCTTATTCCTGTGTTTGAATATTTTATTTGCACATTCACCCCTTGCCAGCCCTTAATATAGAACTCAGCACCTCTTCAAGCTCCCCAGAAAGGATCCCCTCACAGAAACATATCCATGAGTAATACGGACTCTACTCAAGATTCTGGTGTGTAAGAGGTGGAGAAGGGGGTTTGCATCCTACTAGACATCTCGTTCTCAGCAGTCCCTTCTTTGCCAAACCGCCACTGAAGATTTTTCTCTTTGTCCTCCCCTCTCAGGGCTGTCACCTCAGCTCCTTTTTAGGCCCTTCAATAACAGACCGCTCATTGGAACACTAGAAGGCAATTTAGTGAACAATTTTTGTTGTGCCTGATCATATTAAGGGAAGAAGTTCTCACCTCTCATTCTAAAAAGAATTTTCCAACATATATTAATTCTTTCCCAAGAGAAATTCTGGTGAATGAAATTATTTCCACCTTGTTATATACACTACACACACATCCTGTAACCTCACTACCTGCCCTTATCCACCTTACACCCAGCTAGCTCAGAAATATTTCTCTCTTTTCCTTGTTTGCCCCCTCCCCCTCAATTTTCTTAGGAGCCAAAATCTGACCATAATATAATTGACTGGTAGTCATAATCTAGTGCAAGTAGAATTCTATCAAGGAAAGTAAAGATGTGAATTTTCTTAATTTTAGACCCATTAAAAATACCAGGCCTCACAATCTCAAAAACCTACCAAAATACCCAGAAATACCCTTCAGAATTTTTGCAGACCTAACCATGTACATTTTCATCCTTCCCTAATTAAACAGTTTTACTGGTATATTAACACTTTATGTAAATAAAGTATTTCTTTACAATTTTACTGATTTGATGCCTTTCTAAGTATATTCCAAAGTACATTGTTTCATTATGGTCTTAATATGACTTTGTATGCCATTTTCCTGCCATCCTATACATTTCACCTTAGTACCCCAACATGTGCTCTGGTAGCTTCTGGTTTTACGTAAGCTGTTCACTCTGTCCTTTTATTTATTTTTTAAAAAAAATTAATTATTTTTGGCTGTGTTGGGTTCTCATTGCTGCGTGAGGGCTTTCTCTAGTTGCGGTGAGCAGGGGCTACTCTTCGTTGCGATGCGTAGGCTTCATTGCATGGCTTCTCGTTGCGGAGTATGGGCTCTAGGTTCGTGGGCTTCAGTAGTTGTGGCATGCAGGCTCAGTAGTTGTGGCACACAGGCTTACTTGCTCCACGGCATGTGGGATCTTCCAGAACCAAGGCTCGAACCCGTGTCCCCTGCATTGGCAGGCGGATCCTTAACCACTGAGCTACCAGGGAAGTCCTGTTTACTCGGTCCTTGATCTTCTGCTTTGCTTGGTGAGGTCTTTTATCTTTCATGACAGGGCAAATGTTACCTACTTTGTTTATCTAGATAGATACAGTTAGTTTTTCAGGATTATCAACTTAATGTAAGGTATTCTGGATCTGGAATTTCTTGGTATCCAGTGGTTAGGACACCGTGCTTTCACTGCTGAGGGCCCGATCCCTGGTCAGGGAACTAAGTTCCCACAAGCCTTGCAGTGCAGGGGGAAAAAAAAAAAGATATTTTGGATTTTAAAAAAATGTTACTGAGATTTCTGTGCTGGTGTTTATTATTGTTTTGTTTTGACATGTTCTCCTGAGTGACTCCTGGTCTGAGGCAGTTTCCTTAGGTTGTTAGGTACGGGGTCTTTGAGACTCAGGAAAGCTCTATCTAGAAAAATGTGCATGCAAATTCAGGGAACTCATGGACCATCTGAAACTCATCTTTGGACCTCTGTAGTCCTTTACACGGTCCTGAAATCAAAGTTTTACCTATAAAACAAATTACCAAGTAACCCGCAATAACCTCTACCTCATCACATCCCTCAGCTTTGGGGATGAAGCTATGCCAAGACTATCCGCCTGGGTGAACCCCTGAAAGTTCGGGAGTTGGAACCTCAGTAAATTCCAGTGGGAAGCGGGACATGGTGATTCTGGTGATAACCTGAGGCGAGGAGCCTCAATAACGGGGCCCCTGCACATTCATCAACCACCTGCTGAGCCCCTACGACGCGTTGGGACCTGTGCAACGCCCGGGGGGGCTAAGCGCTAAGAGGCTGGTGGGGACTTGAGCTATGCAGTAGAGGTCAGCCCTGCGGAGTGGGGAGTAGGCGAGAAGGCTTCGATTCTCCCACGGAGCAGGAAACCCGCTCCTCCCTGAGAGCTGGGGAGCGGCGGCCGACGAGCCAGGCGCGGCCCCCTCCTCGAGCCCCAGGACGCGAGCTCACCCTTCTGCACCCGCTGGCCGTCCCTGACACGTCCTTGTCTCCAGCCCGGGCCTCGCACTGGGGCTCGGCCGCGACTCGCATCTCTCCTGCGGTGCCGCTGACGAGAATGCTGATGTTTATTTGTTCTACGCTTTGCAGACAGTGTTTTCATCGGTGGACCCAACTTTGCCGGCACCGACACCGACGAAACTCTAAGTCATCGAACGCGCTCGGCCACCACTGCCTCCGGGACCAAGAGGTACTGATAAGAGCCTCGTCGAGCCCTGAGGCTGGGGCCGCTCTCGGAAGCCTGGGGACCCTTGTCCGTGCGCCACCTGGCGGGCGGGGGCGGGCCGGGGCGGCGCGCGGCGTGATTGGTCGAGGCCCGGGGTGCCTTTTTGCTGGTGACCGGTGGGGGCCGGAGGCTGAGGTGGGAGGGCCCCGAGAGTGGGCTACTGCGCGCTGCTGACCCCGAAGTCAAGTACTGGGGCGCCCGCCGGACGGGACCTGGGCTGGCGTCTCTCAGGCCGCCGTGATTTGTCGTTTGTGAGGACGTTTCACATCCCAGGGTGGGATCTATTCCGCCGTTCCCTGATGTTCATGGAGTCCTTGCCGCCGCCCGGTTTCTTTCGAACTTCCAACCAGGCCTATTAAGATACTTATCTAATAACTAATTATTAAAATTTAATTTAGTGGCAGTGGGAAAGGACATACTCAAGGTACAGAGGGCAGGTTTGGCTTCAGAAAGAAGGAAGAAAGCACTGTCCTCTGAGGCTGGTGGAGGAACTGAGACGACAGATGTGGAGGGAATGAGCGCAGGGTGGCCAGCAGAGTTGATTATTTGAGGCCTTTTGCTAAGAAGGGTGATTATGCATTGGAGTGGGCAGATTACCCAAAACATCATCTAGAAAGGAGAAAAATGCTTCTGTGCCCCTGATCTGCTGGTTATGTTGGCATTCTCTGAGCTGGGTTGTGGTGGGGACAGGGTGGAACTTTAGTCACAGGAGGACTATAATCCACACTCCACTCCATTGACTCCCAAGTGGGAGGAATCCCAGGAGTGCAGCGAATGTGGGAAAGACCCGAGAGGTCTTCATGCGGTCGGGTGGAGCTGAGATTCTCTGCATCAGAGAGTTCACACTGGTGAGCAACCCTGCTAATGTAATGAATTCCACCTTCAGACAGAATTCCCACCTTGGAGTTCATCAGAAAACTTGTACTGGAGAGGCCCTTGGAATACCAATGCGGAAAAGCCTCTGATCAGAACTCTCACCAGTTTCAGCATCAGAGCATCCACAGTGCACAGCGATCTGGGGATTTACTCACTGTAGGACACTTTCATTCCGACCTGAAACTTTGCTCTGATCTTTCCTCTTCTTTACCGATGTCACTAGACTGGAAATGCCCTTTGTGCCAGCTAATTTTGTCCTGCTCCTTGAGGACAGGGCTACCTTGTTGTAGAAGAGCGTATCGCATTCAGCCCAGGGTTGCCACTCAAAAATTAACCAGTGAATGAATTAAATAAATAAGAGGCCATAAATGATGAATTGGACATTTCAAATTTAATTAACTGAATGTAGAATCATAATGCCTTTGCTGTCCTTTATTTTTCTATGCAGATCCTTTATCCCCTAAAATGATGGCCACGGCATTAAAGGTCTATATCACCCATCTAATATAAATTATATCTCTTTATGTGATATGGGGACACGTAAAATGTTAAACAGTTGAACCAAAACCTTTCTTTAGCTGAGAGAATTGATCCACTATACGATTTACTCAAATACAAGATAGCCACAGATTGCCTTAAACACACCTCTTTTCCTTGCAACTTTCAGCACTGGAACAAAACAAAACCCAAATCAGATACTTCACCTGTACCATCCTCAAAATCTTTCTTTCATAAGAGGCTTTGTTTACTTCTTGATCTCGTTTCTGTTTTTATACATTATTTCCATCTTCTTGGATATATTATATTTTTTTCTTCATGTGAGCTATATCTTAAATGTATTTGCTGGGATTCAGTATTCTTATTTTTGCAGCTGCTTCAGCATCATCACAGGCTTATGTTTTCTTCATATGTAGTAGTATGCTCAGGATAATCTTGAAAATTAGTTGCTCTTGTGTGTTTTGTTTTGTTTTGTTTTTTTGGCTGAGCCACATAGCTTGTGGGATCTTAGTTCCCTGAGCAGGGGTTGAACCTGGGCCCTCAACAGTGAAAGCGTGGAGTCCTAACCACTGGATGGCCAGGGAATTCCTTGAAAATTAGTTTTTAAATGACTTGTTATTGAAAGGATTAGAATCTATTGCAGGACAAACCATATGTTGGGAGCCTCACTATCTACAGCAGAACCCTGCCAGGCTGGATGTTCTGTCCATTGAATACAGGCAATGCCTCTTTAACTCCTTTCTTTCTTTCTTTCTTTCTTCCTTTCTCCCTTCCTTCCTCCTTCCTCCTTTCTTCTTTCCTTCCTTCCTTCCTTTCTCTTTCTTTCCTTCTTTCATTCTTTCCTTCCTTCCTTCCTCCCTCCCTCCCTCTCTCTCTCTCTCTCTTTCTTTCCTTCCTTCATTCCTTTCTACAGAAATTTATTTTCTCACAGTTCTGGAGGCTACAAATCCCAGATTGAGATGCCAGCCAATTTGGTTCCTACTGAGAGCTCTCTTCCTGGCTGTGGGTGACCACGTTCTCACTATGTCCTCACATGGTGGAGGGAGAGGGAGGGAAAGAGGAAAGAAGGAAGAGAGGGAGAGCGGGAGAGCTTCTTTTTCTCTTAAAATGTTTTCTCAGGTACCTTGGGGAAAAGTGTCCCTTTTTTCTCTCTATGCCACGTGGACCCGTTCATTAGCTAGAAATAAATTCCAATTAAGCAAAGAAACAGCAGTAATGCAGGAAATGCAAGTGAATCAAGGAAAAAGTAGCCATTTGTTTTTAAGGCAAACAACCAAATAACCAGTGCTACCAGCCTGTAAAGACCCCAAACACACCCAGAAATCCCTTCAGAATTCATCCTGGATTGTCTAATCTTGGTTATTCCCTGAATTTCAATTTCCTCATCCATAAAGTGGGGAAAATACCCACGCTTCAAGTTTGTGGGAGTATAGTACAAAATGGTATATCTGACAGTCCACTGCTTTGTGTATAGTAGGAGCCCAATAAATGCAGTTTCTTTTTCTCTTTTACCCACTTTCTTTCTCCTCTGATTTACCCCAAGCTAAAGATCTTTCCCACAAGCGTTAGAATTCAAAGAGAATAAAAATTGCATCTTAACCACTACGTTGTACTTATTTTTATTTCCTGTTTTTTTTTTTCTTTCTGTGTTTTATCTTAAATGTACGTTATTTCATCTACCTTAAGGACACTAAGTAGCCCTTGTGAGTTGACATGGGAATCTAATTACCATTATAACACTGTTTCTTTGTCAGGGCCAATGTATTATGTTTGCAGGTCTATCACAGAAGATTCCTTCCTTTACAAGTGGGAATTCCATTGTGAAGTGCTTATAGGAAAAGTCAGAACTTCTTTCTACTGCTTATAAGTTTTAGTTCTTGTTTCTAAAATGAAATTCCATATCTCAGCTAATTCTGCTGCCTATGTATTTATTACTGGCTTTAAGCAATTCGATTTTGATAGTACCTTGGTGTATCTGTCTTCACGTTTCTTCTGCTTTGTGTTTGTTGAACTTCTTGGATCTGTAGATTTATAGTTTACAGCAAATTTGGAAAGTTGTTAGCTGTTACTTCTTCAAAAGTTTTTCTGCTTTCCTCTTTCTTCCCCTTGGGACTCTAATTACACATGTATTAGGTTGATTAAAGTTGTCTCACAACTTACTGATTGATGCGTTGTTCATCTATTTTTTTTAAATGTATTTTTTAATCTCTGTATTTCATTTTGGGTAGTTTCTATCCAGTACATTTTTCATCTCAGACATATCTTTCATCTCTAGAATTCAGTTTGTGTCTTGTTAATATCTCTTCTCTGTCTTTCTCCGTGCTCATGTTTTCCTTTACCTTTTTGAACATACGGAGTATAATAGCTGCATTCAGTGTCCTTGTCTAATAATTATCATCTGTGTCATTGCTGGATCTGTTTCTATCGATTTTTTCTCTTCATTATGGATCATGTTTTCCTTTTTCTTGCATGCCTTTAATTTTTGATTGGGTGCCAGGCATTGTAAATTGTAATGTTGTGGGGTACTTTTTTTTTTTTATTTAATTCCTTTAAATTATTTTTGACCTGGGAAGCCCTAAGCTAACATTTTTTAATGTTACCTGTTCCGGTCACTGGGCTAGGTGTTATTGAATTTAATCCCCATCACGACCTATGGATGGGTACTATTATTTCCCCCATTTTACAGAAGAGAAAGCTGAGACTAGGAGAGTGATTTACCCAAGGCTGAGTTATGTGTCCCACAGAATTCATGTTGAGGTCCTAATCCCCAGTACCTCAGAATGTGTCTGCATTTGGAGATAGGGTCTATAAAGAGGTAGTGAGGGCTTCCCTGGTGGCACAGTGGTTGAGAGTCTGCCTGCCGATGCAGGGGACACGGGTTCGTGCCCCGGTCCGGGAAGATCCCACATGCCGCGGAGCGGCTGGGCCCGTGAGCCATGGCCGCTGAGCCTGCGCATCCGGAGCCTGTGCTCCGCATCGGGAGAGGCCACAACAGTGAGAGGCCCGCGTACGAAAAAAAAAAAAAAAAGAGGTAGTGAAGTTAAAATGAGGTTATTAGGGTGGGCCCTAACCCACGATGACTGGTGCTCTTATAAGAGGAATTTAGGCCACAGATATGCAGAGAGGGAAGACCATGTGAAGACACAGGGAGATGGTGGTCATCTGCAAGCCAAGGGGAGAGACCTCAGAAGAAACCAACCCTACCAACACTTTGATCTTGGACTTCTAGCTTCCAGAATCTTAAGAAAATAAATTTCTATTGTTTCAGCCACCCAGTCTATTGTACTTTGTTCGGGCAGCCCTCATGAACTCACAGGATCACCGCAGCTAGTGAGTCCTGAGCTTTGGGATCTGTACTGGCTGCCTGCCTGCAGAGCCCACCACTGCTGAACTGACCACTGCTGCTGGAAGGGCTCTCTCAACTACAGGCTGCCTGTTAGCTTCCTGAGAGGGGGAACAATCTGTTTCTTCCTCTATCTCCCGCTGTGGACAAAAGACCACACTCGTTAGCAGGTACCAGTTCTTTTGTTTATTCAGCTGCACAGCTAGGGGAACTTTCTGCTATCAGTGAATTCCAAAATGCACCTGTGAGCAGGGCACTCATACATAGAAACACGAACAGATTATGATTGGACCAGTATGGCACCTGTAAATCCCAGGAGCCCCTCTTGGATACAGAACTAGTTCCTGTAATACAACCAAACTAAGTATACAGAACCTCTGCTGTTGGAATAGCTTCTTTTGCACTAACGAAGTCAGAAGAGATGGCCTCAGGTCAACATTTTGCCTACAAAATATTCTGGTTTCAGCTCTTCTCAGTGATGAATACAGGGTGCTGCAGGCAACGTGATGGCTATTTCTGGAGTGACCACCACCAAGACCAGAGCTCTAATCCATAACCTTGACGCCTTGACCACATCACCTGCTTCCCAGATCCTGCTCTGCCCTTTCAGGGACCAGGACTCTCCTCCGCCAGTCAGTCCGCAGCACCAGGCTGCAGAAGTGGGGAGATGTTCCATGGGGTGGAGCATGCTCACGGTCTTCCCAAATTTGTTCTCTCCTTCTTCAGTTTTAACTGGGCGAATTGTCACCCTGCTAGAGGTGTTTTCCAGCCTCGCTGGTAGGTAGATGTGGCTGTGTAGTTGAATCTTCACCAAAGGATTGGGTCCCCTTCTGCGACACCTGCTGAAAAGGAAATTGCCAGTCTTTGAGACCATTACTTCACTCTTCCTGGGGAATGGGATGGGGATACGGTGAGGATCCAGCATCAACCATGCAGACAAACACATCCTAATCCAGGGGACAGAGGAGCAAGGTGGGTCCCTGACGTACCTGGTGAAATTAAACTGAGCTGTCCCTTAGACCAGGGCTTGAAAAAAATTTCCCGTAAGGGGCCAGAAGTAAATATTTTAGGCTTTGTGAGCCACAGTCTGTCACTTAACTCTTCTTTCCTGCTTTTTACACTTAAAAAAATGTAAAAACCATTCTTAGCTTGTGGGCTTTAAAAAACAGGCCGCGAGATGGATTTGGCCTGTGGGCTGTTTGCTGACCACCTGCTCACGTCTGGACATTTATGTGAGAGAGAAATAAAACTTGTATCTCAGAGTCAGGGAAGGCCTCTCTCAAGAGGTGACACTTAAGTGGAGATCTAGACAAAGTAAAATGTGACTTATGTAACTATCTGGGAGGAGAGCATGGAGTTAGGGAATGGAGAATGAGGACAGAGGTCCTGAGGTGGAAAGGAGCTTATAACATGGGCCAGTTAGCAAATAATCACCTCCTCACTCCAAGTCTGCCGTCCCCTGCCGTACTCTATGAGACTGGAGCTGGAACTGTCGACATCTCCCCTTTGCCAGCTGGCACAGTGTCAGGCTTTGCCAGTAAAGGGCACTGGAGGGACACAGCAAAGGGGAAGGGGCCTGTCCTTCTGGTAGTTTTCCTTCTTGTCCTTACAGTGCAGCACCCGTCCTCTGGTGAGTTTGTGGGCACCTCGACCAGTGGCTTCCTGCTCTGACCTGCAGAGCCTTGATGAACTTCACCAGCCAGTGTCAATATTTAACAACTAGTTAAAAAAGAAAAGCCCTGATTTGTAGCATTTCCTGACTTCCACGGCATGAATACTCTCACCATGACCAATTTCAGTGCAGGCTGGCGAAAAGAAGTGCAGAACTGGCTGTTGCAAGCCTGTACAGACCAGCTCGCACATACCCCTGGGGCAGCCACACCTGTCCAGCCAGGCCTGAATTTCACCTGTCCAGTCTTGGGCTGGGGGTGTGGGGGAGGGTTGGCTCTCCTAGGTCTGCTTCTTCCTCTGATGCTCTCCCTCAGTCCTAGAGGTAGTAGCTGTTCCCCATGCTGCTATTCCTATATTAAGATCTCGTTACCTCCTTTAACAGATAATCCCCCTTTACTAGCTAGCACTTCTTTGTATTAAACGTTTCCTGCTCAAAGAACAAGTGTGGTTTCTGTCTCATGCCTGGACACTTGTAGATGTGACCCTGTCCGAAGAGGCAGCCCAGTATGGGGCTGAGGAAGGGCCAGGACCAAAGGCCCATTCACAATAATACTAATATAGGATGGCCACTGCCTGCACAGCTGCTCTGTGCCAGGCCCAGAACCCTAATGAAGTCGGCATCTTGGCTGTTACTCGCAGCCAAAGGCATGCTAGTTGATACAGTCATCTCAAACAGAGGGCATGAGGCGATGAGCTGAAGGTGGGACTAGGTAAACATTTTTTCCTAAATCAAGAAAGACACAGGAAAAATCTTAAGGTGCTTATAACTTTTATGGAATATAGTCCTAAAACTGATCAGACAAAGGTACAATTCTGTCTGGAGACTTTCTCACCCACAGTCCATTGGGAAGGCTCTTTTCTGGCATGAACTCTCTGATGTCTGATAAGCTCAGAACTCCATCTGTAGGCCTTCCCACATTCTTTACATAGGAAAGGTTTCTCGCCACTGTGGATTCTCAGATGCTGACTTAGATATGAGCTTTGACTGAAGGCCTTCCCACACTCATTACACTCATAGGGCTTCTCCCCTGAATGAACCCTCTGATGTTGAACAAGGTGAGCACTCCACCTGAAGGACTTCCCACACACATGACATTCGTAGGGTTTCTCTCCCGTATGAATTCTTTGATGCTGAATGAGGTTTGAGCTCTGGTTGAAAGTTTTCCCACAGTCACTGCACTTATAGGGTTTCTCTCCAGAATGGATTCTCTGGTGGATTATAAGGTGTGAGTTATAAATGAAGGCTTTACCACATTCACTGCATTCATGGTCTTTCTTCCCTGTGGGAGTTGTCTTAAGGGTGATGACCATCTGCCTGAAGCTTTTCCCCTGAGCGGGGGACTGCTTCAGCCTTTCCCCTTTGAGATTTCTCTGCTGCTGCTCTAAAGGGGCCTCAACTTCAGAGGCAGCTTCAAATGTAGAGGTGCTGGTGGTGAGTTTTTCTCTGAGCACCTGTGATTCCACGTCAGTAATGGGTGGTTCTGGCAACGACCCTTTGTCCTTGGGCTCTGCATCATCTTCTGCAACAACTGACGGAAAATGTAAATATACCTGTTCTGGAGGTATGGAGAAATGACACTTGGATTAGGATTTCTGGCATGAAAATAAAAGCTTAAAAAAATATTCAATATACACACACGACAAAATTCAGAAGGAAAGTCATTTAAATATGAACACTGGTCATCTGTTGGTGATGGGATTGTGTAGGGGATAAGGTTTCTCCTTTTTTCTCCCCCCTCCCCCTTACCTGTTTTTTCTAAATTTTCCTTAATGGAACACTGCAAAAATGTTATTTGAAAAATAAATTTCAAGGCAGGACCTTCTTTTTTTAGGATTTACTCTTCAAAAATATGAGCAAAAATAATAGTTGCAAGAAACTGGGGAGTGATGTTGTGTGGGAAGGGAAAAATGAGAATCACAGGTTGAGGGAAAAGGGATGTTCCTAAACGCGCAAAGACCCTGCTCCTCCTGACTCCGTGACCTTCACCTCTTCCCCGTCATTGCCTGCCCCACAAATCTCTAGCCACAGAAAAGGATCCCCAAGCAGCTGGCTCCTTTACTGAAGGGACGACTGCCTTTTTGGTGCTTTCTGCCTTTCCCTTTGACCTGCTCCTTAAAAAACGAAGAGAAGAGTGCTTTGCGTTTTGGTTTTTAAAACATCTCTAACGCTTTTTGTCTTTTAATTGTAATGCTTTCTGTAGTCTAAAGAGGACAAAAAGCAATTGCTATAAGGTAATGCAAGACTTTAAAAATACGTTATTTTTCAGGTTAAATGCTTGTGGTTAAAGAAATCTGAAACATGCTTGCTGAAAAAAAAAAGTCAAACAGTAGTTAGCTTTGAAGAGAGACTTACAAAACAAAAGTAAAGGAGACAAGGAGAACTCTGCAAGAAAGGCAAGGAAGTGCTGGGAAATAAAAACATACTTATGGAGCAGACACTAAGATTAATCTCCATTTCTAGTTTTTCCCATTTTGTTGCCAACAAGAATTTGAATTTTCGTAGGCTTTTGTCTGATGGTGGTGGGGTTGTGGTGTAAAATGAAGTATTTAAATAGAGTCTTCTTGATTAGCAAAATATTCATGTCACATTCCCGATCGTTCATGAGGTTATACAGCACTCAGCAATGCCAGTGTGTGGTCCTGAGGCTCTCCCTCTAGTTTGCCGTAGGAAGGAGGAGAGGATGTTTGTGGGGATGAAGGCAGGCCGGAAAGGAAGTTTTTGTGGTGAATCTGAAGGGCAGAAGTGTAGATGGAAGAGGGTATCAAATAGGGCTTTTAGGTGGGGGGTAGGTGGTAGATAATGGTGATGACAGGCTGTGTCTCACGTGGAGTGTGTTATGGCTTAAAAAGTATGTTTTGGGAGTCATGAGAAAGTTGAAAAAGATTTCCAGGCTGGCCTGTAGCCCAGGGCAGTGGAGATGATGAGGCAGGAAGTGAATGAAGTATTTTCTGGTCCTGTTTTAGGGCCCTCTAAAGCCCGGAGATGCTGGTGAGGCTTTACAGCCAGGTTCTGATTGAAATTTAATCCTTACAGCTACTACAGTGATGAAACAGGCTACGTCTCTCACCTAAGAGGTAAGAATAGTAAAAGGGCAAGATGAGGATAGCCAACTTTTGACCACCTACTCTGTGCCCTTTATACCCTCTCCTCCTCCTCTCCCTCCCCACAGAATCCTGCTCCTCACCACGCTCTGGGAAAGGCTGGGTCTCCTTAGGCTGGAGCTGGATGCTTGGTTTCTCCTGGGCTGCTCCCACAGGCTCCTTCTCCTCCCACGGCTCTTCCTGTGCAGGTCCGTGTGCCGGGCCTGGGACCTGGAGATGATCAGGCACCACTCGGTTTCTGTGGAGCCAAAGCTTCCAAGGAGACTTTGGAGAGCCTCCTCAGAGTCAGCACAGGGGCAGGAAGAGGAGCTAGAGTCTTACTCAGGACTTGAGGGCAGAAAAAACACACCGAAGCACACACTCACTGCTCTGCCTGGCCCAAAAGAGTTTTGAACTTGGCAACTCCCCCTACTGCTGCCCCTCTGTCCAGCCTGAAGGTCATTGATCTGGCTCCCACAACAGATCGTATGTTCCCCTTCCCACCTGCAGTCCTGGTTCATCAAGTCCTTTCTCTAAATCCTCCAGCACAGTCACAGCCTCCTCTCCACTCTCAGGGTGATGTCCCCGCACCCAGGACTGGAGCTTCTCCGGTAGGATGGTCAGGAATTGTTCCAGCACGAGCAACTCCAGGATCTGCTCCTTGGTGTGCCTCTCGGGCCTTAGCCACTCACAGCAGAGCACCCTTAGTCGGCTCAAGGCCTCCCGGGGACCAGGAGTCTCCTGGTAGCAGAGCTGCCTGAAGCGTTGGCGGAAGATCTCCTGACTGGGAGAGCGGTTCCCATGTAGCCTGGTCTCACACTCCCAAGACTGTTCCTCTTCCTTTGGCTCCATCATCATAATCTTCTCTTGACCCTGTGTATCCTGAAGGGTCAGAGTTTCAGCTGCTGTTAGTGATCCAGCCATCCTAGCCTGGACTGGCTCTGTAGAAGGCCCATACTAGCAGGAGTCTTTCAGGGGCACCCTGTAACATAAGTAGAAATCATTCTTTTTTTTTCTTTTTTTTGCTGTACGTGGGCCTCTCACTGTTGTGGCCTCTCCCGTTGCGGAGCACAGGCGCCGGACACGCAGGCTCAGCGGCCATGGCTCACGGGCCCAGCCGCTCCGCGGCATGTGGGATCTTCCCAGACCGGGGCACGAACCCGCGTCCCCTGCATCGGCAGGCGGACTCTCAACCACTGCGCCACCAGGGAAGCCCCATTCTTTCTTTCTTTTTTTTTTTTTTTTTAATTCATTAACACACACTCAGAATCTACCAAGAGCCAAACCCTGTACTATACCCTTTAATACTTTTTTCTCCATTCCTCTCCAGATTCTTATTCCAGTAAGAGTCATTGCCTTTGAGATACTTACAATCTGGTAGACAGATATGTAAAGAGTTTGCTACACTAGATAATACAACTAGATAAATGCTATAGCAGGAGAAAACAGCAGGAAAAAAAAAAAAGTGTTCCGGGATCCCACTGGAAGAAACAAGTCTTAAGCAAAACCCAAGTTTCCAGAGCTCAGAGCTGAGAAACGTTTCAGTGCAAGGTGACTGACTCTCAGAGGTATTGAAGAGGCAGCCTCCTCCCAGATGGCCTCTCACTCTTTCTCAAGTTCCTGTAGTGGCCACAACAAAAGAAAAATTTAAATTTCCTATGAGGCAATCTTATTCAAACGCCCAGGATCTGTAGTAGGGTCCTGAGATGCGGCTGCTATGGGCAAGACGTGGTCTCGGGTAAGGTGTCCAGCGTCAGGAAAATCTAAAGGGAAGGAGGTGGGACGCACCCAGAGGCCATTAAAGGCACACAAACAGGGGCGCTGGCCGAGGACAAAGGAAGCACGGAAGACCAGCGCAGAAGGCTGTTTCTCGGGGTGATGTTCCGGCGGCGCCAGCCCGCAGCTGAACTCCTGCGCACGGCACTGGGCAGGGGACCGCCCGATCGCCTGGGGAGGGGGCTGTCCTCCATACCAGTTACAATTCCCCACCCTTCACTTTAGCCCCTGGGATCTCCAGAGAAGAGAAGAGGCGCACCGGGCCAGCCACCGCCCTCCACAACACGTGACGTAATCCGTGCAACCGGGCACGGGAACCGTGGGGACCCAGACCCCGTTCCGCGCGGTCTGGCCTCGGCTCCTCACAGGGTTGCCTGCGGGGTGTGCTCACTGCAGAAACCGCCGCTGCCTTCCGGGACTGGCCATAGCAACGCGGGCCGAAGAGCGACACCCGGGGCGCCGCCGCTAAGACTCACCTCGCAGGTCCCGGAGCTCCCATCTGACCACTTCTGCGTAGCGCGCTTCCAGCCCACCCGCGGGGGCAGGTGTGCGCCTGCGCACCCGCGGCCGCGACCTCTCCGGTCGCGGAGGGCTCTGGGAATCGCAGTCCTTGGACAGGGGAGCGGGGCCGGCGTGAGCGGGCCTTTTGGCTTAATGGCTGGAGGGCCGCGCTTTTCTGTTCAGTTGTAGGCCCAGGGGCCGTCCAAGCCGATTTAAACGGCAGGGAAATTCCAGGCTGTGCGTGGCCTCTTTGCAGCGTTTCCTCCTCTACGTTCTGCTTTCTCGTTACATCTTCCCAGACCTGATTAAAGGGTCACAGCCGAGGAGGAAGTTACCCCCAGGGAGAAAATATTCCCAACCACCGGCCTATGCGTGTCCGTTAGTAAATAAAACACAATTCCTGCGGAGGAGTAAAAAGAAATGTAAGGTTGCAGTTTACTGGGGTAGGGGAAAAAGGACTTGTTGATAGAGGAAATCACTGCCATCTTCTTTTCCAATAATGAGAGAAATATGCGTCTGATTATGAGTTCTAGGGGAGGTAACCATTATGGGAATGGAAAAGTACAGTAGAACGTCCAGATTAACAAGGGAAAAAATAGGATGCACTAGAACTTGAGCAAACTAGTAAAAATCAGAAAGAAAAGAATCCAACTGGATCAAAAGAGGAAATCAAAAGCGAAATTACAAACTCTTGAATTCTGCAGGGGGGATCAGGAAAGCCTGAGATAAGAATTTGGACAATTCATTAGCTGTTTAGGGACAGGCAATAAACAGAACACTTCGTGGTAAAATCTATAGGACCTAGCAACAGCCATGCTTGAAAATGTATAACCTTAACTACCTCACTTGTTAATGAAAATAGATAAAAAACAATTTAAGTCACCTTAAGAAACTTTTTTTTTTAAGCTGAATTTTCTTTTTTTTTTAATTAATTAATTTATTTTTGACTGTGTTGGGTCTTTGTTGCTACTCCCGGGCTTTTTCTAGTTGCAGCGAGCGGGGGCTACTCTTCGTTGCAGTGCATGGGCTTCTTATTGCGGTGGCTTCTATTGTTGCAGAGCACGGGCTCTAGGTGCGCGGGCTTCAGTAGTTGTGTCTCGCGGGCTCTAGAGTGTAGGCTCAGTAGTTGTGGCGCACAGGCTTAGTTGCTCCGCGGCCAGTGGGATCTTCCCGGACCAGGGCTCGAACCCGTGTCCCCTGCATTGGCAGGCGGAGTCTTAACCACTGTGCCACCAGGGAAGTCCCAAGAAACTTTAAAATCATAGTAAAATAAACCCAAAGAAGCAAAGAAGAGTGAATCAGTAAAGATAAAAACTAATTAATGGGGACTTCCCTGGTGGCGCAGTGGCTAAGACTCCGCGCTCCCAATGCAGGGGGACTAGATCCCACATGCCGCAACTAAGAGTTCACAGGCTGCACCTAAAAAAAAGATCCCCCATGCTGCAACTAAGACCCAGTGCAGCCAAATAAATAAGTAAATAAATACCTTAAAAAAAACATGGAAAAATTAAAAGGAAGAGATAAATTCAAATGCTAATTTCTTTGAAATGAGCAATAAAGCCGATAAACTTGTTTAGAGCCTTATTAAGAAAAAGAAAAATTAACCAGAATGGGAATGAGAAATAGAACATAACCATAGAATCAGAAGAGATGAAAAGAATTAGAGACCATTTCTTTAGGGTAGGATATTGGAAAACCTAGATGAAATGGATGATCTTCTGGCAAAATATAAATTACCAAAATTGTGTGCACCAGCCAAATGTATATAAAACAACCCTGACTGGGGGTGGCAGGGGGTGGCAGGGGGTGGGTAAGAAGACCCCAAGAAAGTGCTAGAGAGCAATTACATTTAGATGTAACATGAAGCACCACTTTCTGGCAAACAACCTAGTTTTAAATGGGAATCATTAAAATACTTAACTAGAGGGAATTCCCTGGAGGTCCAGTGGTTAGAACTCTGGCACTTTCACTTCCGGGCCCAGGTTGGATCTCTAGTCAGGGAACTAAGATCCCACAAGCTGCGTGGCACAGCCAAAACAACAAAAACACTCAACTAGAAACCAGTCACCAAGTTTAATTTGAAATAAATGGATACTTTGACCAAGCAAGCAAAATATAATATAACCTGAATTTTTTTCTGCAGTGACTAGTTTATGGTTACATCTGGAATGGAAAGAAAAGAAAGGAAATTACACATACTGTGCTCCTGTGATGACTATAGTTTTCAACAACTGCCACAAAACTAGAAAATTATAAACTCGGACATTCATTCAAACATTTATTGAACAAAAATATATATGTGAATCTAGGTCTGGGTTGGAGGAGAGGGGATACAAAAACGTAGTTCCCTGCTTTCAAAAAGCTAAATGTGGGGCTTCCCTGGTGGCGCAGCGGTTGCGAGTTCGCCTGCCGATGCAGGGGACGCGGGTTCGTGCCCCACATGCCGCGGAGCGGCTGGGCCCGTGAGCCATGGCCGCTGAGCCTGCGCGTCCGGAGCCTGTGCTCCGCAACGGGAGAGGCCACAACAGTGAGAGGCCCGCGTACCGCCAAAAAAAAAAAAAAAAAAAAAAAAGCTAAATGTGTAGGGAGTGTGAAGAAAAAAGAACATGCATAAAAGATTTACAATGTAATAATGGCTTCCTGTAAGCTGTGAGACTGGAGAAACAAAGGACTTTGGTTTGTTCATTCAAACAAGTCATGCTTCAGTGTTTGAATTTTTCTTACAATGAACAATGTAAAAAAAAAAAAAGCGACAAGGCATTTTCCTTTAAAGAATTGAGTGTGTACCAGAACCTGTCAGACACGTTGCCTGTGTTTAAAGAAAAAGTGAGTTTAAGCGGTGGGGACTCTGAATGCCGCAGGGGATCAGGAGAGCCTGAGATAAGAGTCAGGACAATGCATTAGCTGTTTAGGGACAGTAATTAGACCAGACCTCAAACTAAATGCCAAGCCAAGAACTTTTACTTTAGGTAATGGGCAGCCACTGGCTACTTTCTGAATGTGAGTTTGCATGTCTGTGTGTGAGATAATAAAAGCAGTATTTCAAGAAAATCAAATAGTGGTGTGTATGATGGATTAAAAAGGTGAACAGTTCTGAGGCAAGTAGAACAGCAATGGAAGACCAAGGCTCAGAGAAGCCTAGTTCACTTTCACTCTCAGGATCTCAAGGTGCTGCCAGATCTGATCCAGATTCTTTATGCTAAGAGGAAAGAAAGCACATGGGGGTACAGTCTCCTTGATCACACATCCAAAAAATGGTCATGGATACCCTTCAGAGGTAATGAGGAAAAATCATTTTACCCAAGATTCTAATAAAACTCCAGAGACAGAGAAACCAGTCCTTCCAAACTCGTCCCCAGCTGTTCAAGGCCCTCTTCACCATAGGCTTAACTCATGCCCAACCATACAAGACATGGGCATAGTGTCACATGACTGACCAGAATTTTAGGTCTTCTAATCTCATAAACATCAGAGGTAGGGAGAAATTTCCTCCAAATCTTTATTTCATGAGAGATTCAGAAGCTGAAAGGAGAAATGATTTGTACTCTAGCTGCAGCCAAAGGACATCAACATATTTACCTGCTCTATTTTCAACATCCTCAACTGCTACATTCAAACCCATCCTGCTTCAGGGAAGAAATGGTTTGGAGGAAAGGAGCCAGCTCAAGAGGAGATTTAGTGACCAATGTCACTGGTGTGCTTGGTAAAGACAGATTTGATAGTGTGTTGGGAGAGAGACCTCAATGGGTTGAGGAAGAGAGTTAAGAATTGGAGACAATGTGGGAATCCCCTGGTGGTCCAGTGGTTAGGACGCTGTGCTTTCACTGCGGTTTTGATCCCTGGTTGGGGAACTAAGATCCTGCAAAAACTGGCTACAAAGGGAAAAAATGGGTTGGGGTTGAATTTTGTTTGGTTTTTAGGACGCAAGATACTTGAACATATTTGTACACTTCTGGGAAGGGGCAGTGGAGAAGAGAGGTGAAGATACAGGAAGGAGATGGGATAATGGGATGCGGCGAGGTCCCAGAGGGAGTGGGATAGAAAGCACAGACAGAAAGATGACCCCCTAGATATGAGAAAAGGCAGTTCTATTAAGAAGGGAGCAAAGTTGGTTACAGTATATGAGAGATGTGTGAGGGAAAGGAATGGAAGCAGAAAATTGAAAATGTTTCTGTGCAAAGGTCTCTACTTTCTTTGTGAAGAGATCGCATGCTAAGAAGGGCAGTGGGTGGGTGGTTAGATGTGCAAAGAGAGGGGGAGGTGTTAAGTGGTATTACAGACAATGGGAGAGAGTGCCGACTAGAATTGTATTAGTGTTGAGTGCCCAAAGGCCTATGTCTCCCTAGGTTTGTGATTTTCTTTCTCAACCCAGGTGCAGGCTCAGGAAAGGACAATTAGGACTGTCCATGGTAGTTTTCTTTTGGCCAGGTACACGTGACTGAAGAATGAGGCAAAAAGGATATTGGTAAAAGAGTGGCTGAAGTGTTGGACAGAGGTATCTAATAGGAAAGGGTAAAAACCAGGGAGGGACAATGGATAGAAAGGTCACTGGACTGGAGACCCGATGAGTTATAAGAACACAAAAATTAAACTATACAACAGTGCCTCGACTCCTTTGAAATAGTTCAGATGGTCGAAAGAGACTTTCCAACTCACTACAATTTGCCTTTTATGATATGGCATGTAATTTGCTCCCTTCCATCTTTCTTTCTTCCTTCCCTTCCCTTTCCTTTCTTCCTTTCCTTCTTTCTTTCTTTCTCTCTCTCCCTCCCCCTTCCTTCCTTCCTTTCTTTCTTTGATATCTTTGTCTGGTTTTGGTATCAGGGTTTTGTTAACTCTTCTCTAAACGTTTGATAGAATTCGCCTGTGAAGCCATCTGGTCCTGGACTTTTGTTTGCTGCCTTCTATCATGTGAAAAAGTTGAGACCTCCTTATTTTCTCTGATTATTACTGTCTCAAAACCAGTTAAGCCACCTACAGGAATTAGAGTTCACTATCATATTTGCAAGATACTTATTGATTTGACCTCTTAATACTTTCAGCTTAACGCTAGCCTCTCCAAGAAAAATCTTAATTCAACTCTATAGTGCTATATAACTTCTCTCAGATTCACTGCTAACTTTATTATTCCAAGATACAGCATCCTACAGAAGGACAAATACTGCATGATTCCACTTATACGAAGTACCGAAAATAGTCATAAAGTCACAGAAGCAAAGCGTAGGATAGTGGTTGCCAGGGGTTGGGGGGAGGGAGAAATAGGGAGTTGCTATTTGGCAGGTGCAGTTTCAGTTATGGAAGATAAGTAAGTTCTAGGGGTCTGCTGTTCAACACTGTGCCTATAGTTAAAAGACTGTGTCATACACTTAAAAATTTGTTAAGAGGGTTAATCTCATGTTGAGTGTTCTTACCACAAAAAATAAAAGAAGAAAAAAGATACAGCATCCTTGAAAATTTGTATAAATCCCCCCCACCCCCACTTTCCCCAATCCTTACCATTTACTTACACTACGCCAAGCCCCTTCTGACTTCAAGTAGGATCAGGAAATGCAGAATCATGTAATTTTCCAGAAGGCTTTAGCCTGGGAGAATATGTTGTCTCCTTTCCTTCAAAATGCCTTAGATAATCACTGCCCATAGGAACTACTGATAAAAAATCTATCATTTGTTGTATACTATGTGTCTAGAACTTTGCTAAATGCTTAACAAAACTGTCTCATTTAATCTTCACGATAGCCCAAGGGAGGTATTGTTATCTTGATTTTACATATGAGAAAACCAAGGCTCAGAAACATAAAAAAAAATTGCCTAAGATTACATAGATTAAAAGTGACAGAACCTGGATTTCAGTATATCAGATTCCAAAGTGCCATTATACTTTAAAATCCTACAGAAGAGATTTCCTCACAACTTCTACCCTTATATGAAAGAAGGTAACTGTCCTATGATTTACTAGTCACTTCCTTTTCCTAATTAAACTAGCTGCTTCTGTATCTGATTTTACTAGGAATGGAAGAACAAGCTCAAACTCCCTAATCTTCTCTATATATTGACATTTATTCTAATGAGAAAACATCAGGACCATTTTCAGACTTTTGGATTAGACTCTGTCCCAGGAAGAACCATTCATTCTAGAGTTCAGGATATCACACCTATCTTATATTCCCTTGGTACAGTTCATATTATGGATAAAAAGATGGGAGAAGTTATTATATTCCTGGTGCTGCTGAAGAAGACACACAAGGACACAATTTTGTGATGATGTAGGTGCTTTACAAGCAAGTTCTTCCATTTGCAAGATTTCCCTGTGGTGTGGAACCTCTGATGATAAAGTAAGGAGTGAAAATGTAATTAAAGGCTTACCCCATCAAGGTCTTTGTGGAAAGTGTTTAGGAAGGACAAATCTGCACACAGCCTGAGGCTGAACACTCTAAACTGAATCAGATGAAAATCGCTCTTAAGAAGCTTAGAATTTTCCAAGTATTATAGTTACGATGGCTAAAGGTAGACACAACAGTATTTAAAAACAAATATATATATATATATATAGACATTTTATCATTACTGTCTTCCTAGGATTCTGTGTGCTGTCTCTGATGCTAAGACCTGAGCTCTGACTGAAAGTTTCTCCATACTCATTACATTCATGCACTTTCTCTCCGGTGTGAATTTTCTGATGCCTAACAAGGTCTGAGCTCCATCTGAAGGCTTTTCCACATTCATTACATTCATAGGGCTTTTCTCCACTATGAATCCTGTGATGTCGAATAAGGTCTGAGCTCTGATTAAAAGTCTTGCAACATTCATTGCATTCATAGGGTTTCTTTCCTCTGTGAATTCTTTGATGCTGAATAAGTTGAGAGCTCCCCCTAAAGGCTTTCCCACCTTCACTGCATTTATAAGGCCTCTCACCAGTATGGATTCTCTGATGTTCTATAAGGACTGAGTTCCTGCTGAAGGCCTTTCCACATTCACTGCATTCAAAAGGTTTTTCTCCAGTGTGAATTGTTTGATATCTAATAAGATCTGAGCTTCCTAGGAAGGTTTTTCCACATTCATTACATTCATAAGATTTCTTTTCCTTGTGAATTCTCTCCTGTCCATTAAGTTCTGAATCTGAACTGAAAGCTTTCTCATATTCAAGTTTTTCTCCAATATGAAGTCTCTGATGTTTAAGAGAAACTGTGCACCCACAGAAGGCTTTCCCACATTCAGGGCATTTGTAGGGTTTCTCGCCACTGAGGATTCTTTGATGCTGAATAAGAAGGGAACTCTGCCGGAGGGCTTTTCCACATTCGCTGCATTCATAGGGTTTCTCCCCAGTATGAATTCTTTGGTGGTTAACAAGATGGGAGCTCTGACTGAGTGCTTTCCCACAGTCATTACATTCATAGGGTTTCTCTCCACTGTGAATGCTGTGATGGATAATAAGATCTGAGCTTTGATTGAAGGCCTTCCCACATTCATTACATACATATGGCTTCCCTCCACTATGAATTGTCTGGTGCAGGATAAGGTTTGAGCTTCCCCTGAAAGCTCTTCCACACTGATTACATTCATAGGGATTCTCCTTGGTATGAATTCGTGGATGTCACATGAGATTGGAGCTCAGCTAAAGTCTTTGCCTCAGTCACCACCAACATAAGGCTTCCTTCCCGTGTGAATGCTCTGACATATAACCAAGTTAGAGCTCCTGGTGAAGACCTTTCCGCATTCGTTGCACTAACAGCTTCTCTTTACGGTATGGATTTTCTGATGCTGAGTAAGTCCTGACTTCTGTTTGAAGCTCTGGCCACATGCCTTGCACCTATAGGTTCTTCCCTTTGTTGAAACTCTCTGATGTGTAACGGTTGGGGTCAGATCACAAATTCTCAGTTTCATATCAATGTCAAGCTTTCCTTTCTTAAGGGTAATGCTCACTTGGCTGAACCCCTTTTCCTCAAAAGAAGAGTGTAGCAGTCCAGCCTCTGCTGAGTTTACCTGTTGCCTCTCCAAGATGTTCTCACTTTCCCTGGGTCCTAAGAATTTAGATCCACGGGGTATTTGTACTGGGTGTCCTGATCCTGTTTCTTCAGAAATTTCCTGCTTTAGCTTCCATTCCTCCTTCTCAGTTTTCTTTTCATTATCTGAAACATGAGTTAAAAGTATAAATGCTGTGATGGATAATCAGATCTGAGCTTTGATTTAAGGCCTTTCCCACATTCGTTACATATATATGGCTTCCCTCCACTATGCTAGGAGAAAAGAAATTCTTAGAAGGGGAAACAAATGTTCAAAGTAAAACATTTCTATGATTGGGTTAAGCTTCTAGATTCTCAAAAATGTGTTATAATCTGGGAAAGAGAAAGGCTTCTAAACCTAACTTTGGTCTCTATGGTCTATAAAAGCAGTTCCCAAACTCGGCTGATTGTCAGAAACACACGGGAGAGCTACTGAATCAGACTTTGAGTCCACATCATTCTCTCGGCAAACTGTCTTTTTCCTTTAGTACCTTAGCTCCTGGATCGTAAAATTTCCTTTATGCAAAAGACCAGCCCTGTATTAACTAGATTTCTTTAGTTCCACTTCCAAAATCTTAGAAAAGAGAATCAGTTATCCCAGTTTAGGTCAAGTGTTGACTTTGACTGTAATCAGTGGTGGTAGGGGCTAGGGGGTATCACACAGGATAAACTTGGTTGCTGGGAGCCCACCTCTGGAGGTGAGAAGGGCAGTTAGATGGATCGTGGTGAGCAGCCTTGATACTTCAAGAGTTGTTTATGACATATTTTTCCTGAGAGGTGAGACCCTTAGTTACAGTTTCATCTTCTTGGCCATTTAGTGGATATACCCAATAAATAGGGAGAAGAATGGCAAGTAGTTTTATCTCAACTGTCAACCCTGAAGGACTGAAAAGTAATTGCCTCAAAGCACCACTTTAAATGCAGAGGCTGTCTCTGGGCCCAGTAAGAACACAGCACTGTGCTGGATTACATAAGTCTGTGGGGAAGTATAGAGAGTAGTGGAGGTAAAGGAAGGATGGGTGGGCTTGCTATCCCTTCAAAGGAGCAAAGTAAAGATGCCAATAGAACTTGGAAGAGATTACTCTTTAATAATAAACCAGCAAGTATCAACATATAATGGCTGAAATTATCCACATGCAGAAATAACTCAAAGAGGTAAGGAAATCCTGGAATTCCTAAGTCCAATCACGGTTACCAGGACCTGGTTTCAGAGGAGCACTGGATGGAGTATGATTATAATAATCAAGACAGGGGAACTTAATCAATTATCTTAAACCTGACATGAAGAAACACTAGGTTTCTACATCTAGAAAAGATGGACTCAGAGAGCAAAAATGTGCCTGTGCCTCCAGCACTGGTTCAGGGGAGGGTGCTCACTCCAGCTCATGGGGATATTCTCTGTCCCCTTGGCAGACACCTGCCCTCCTCCCAAGAGCACGTAGATATACCAAGTGATCAGAGCAGGATGACATCTGCATTAATATTACCTGACAATGCCCTTGCTTTGTTTCCATGCCCACTAAGCAAACTTTTCTTTTCTTTTTTTTTTTTTTTTTGGCTGCCTTGGGTCTTTGTTGCTGCGCGCCGGCTTTTCTCTAGCTGCGGCGAGCGGGGCCTACTCTTCGTTGTGGTGTGTGGGCCTCTCATTGGGTGGCTTCTCTTGTTGCCGAGCACGGGTTCTAGGCACATGGGCTTCAGCAGCTGTGGCGTGCGGGCTCAGTAGTTGTGCCTCGCGGGCTCTAGAGCGCAGGCTCAGTAGTTGTGGCACGTGGGCTTAGTTGCTCCGTGGCATGTGGGATCTTCCTGGACCAGGGCTCAAACCCGTGTCCCCTGCTTTGGCAGGAGGATTCCCAACCACTGTGCCACCAGGGAAGCCCTAAGCAAACTTCTGATTAGAATTTACCTTCCTCTATAGGTTTTCCTAGATAGAAAATGTGTTGACAGCCCACTCAATTTCTGATCAGGCAGTTGTATTTTCCCCTGTTTTTTATACCACTTTCTTGTGGTTTGGGTAGGTCTATTTCCCTGGCCTGAAGAATTCTGGATAGGTACACTGACAAAGTAAAATTTCTGGACCTGGAAAGTGTAGGACCAGACCCTGAAATCTGGTGATCAGAGCATAAGGCCCAGCTAAAGAGCCAGCTGGACTTCCTGAACAAAATCTATATCTCACAACCAAATGAAATGGTGAATATTTTCTCTTGGAAACCAGATTGTTTCTAAATTTACAATTCTGAAACTGACATGTTTTTCTAATATTCTTGTCTCTGGTAATGCCTTGCCCCAAGCTCCTAATCTTACATTATTCTTGAATAATTTTTCCCTACTGTGCTGCATTAAATGGTGTCCCCCTAAAATTCATGTCCACCTGGCACCTATGGATGTGACCTTATTTGGATATAGGGTCTTTGAAGATGTAATCAAGTTAAGATGATGTCATTAGGGTGGGCCCTGAATCCAATATGACTGGTGTCATTATAAGAAGAGGGAGGGCTTCCCTGGTGGCGCAGTGGTTGGGAGTCCGCCTGCCGATGCAGGGGACGCGGGTTCGTGCCCTGGTCCGGGAGGATCCCACATGCCGCAGAGCGGCTGCGCCCGTGAGCCATGGCTGCTGAGCCTGCGCGTCCGGAGCCTGTGCTCCGCGGCGGGAGAGGCCGCAGCAGTGAGAGGCCCGCGTACCACAAAAAAAAAAAAAAAAAAAAAAGGGAAATTTGGACAGAGAACCGGAAGTAAGATAACCATATGAAGATGGAGGCAGATATTAGATTTATGCTGCCACAAACCAAGGAACCCCTAGGGCTACCAGAAGCTGGAAGAGGCATGAAAGGATCCTTCCCTAGAGACTTCAGAGGGAGCATGGCCCAGCCAACAGTTTGATTTTGGTCTTGTAGCCTCCGTAGCAGTGAGGGAATAAATTCCTGTTGTTTTAAGCCACTCAGTTTGTGGTAATTAGGAAACTAATACGCTTACTATGAAGTCCAGTTAATTTTCCAGAAAAAAATGTCATTCTTTCCATTCCCGTAATTTCTCCCTGGCACCACTCATGGCTTTCCAGATTTCAGTAGATTACCATAAGAGACTGGAGCATAGTCATTAGGAACATGGGCTCTGGACACAGGCTGCCTTGTCTGCCTCTACCATTTATTTGCGCTGTGACCTTCAGTTACTTAACATTTCTGTGCCTTTGTTTCCTCATCTGTCAAATGTGGACAGTAATAGCATTTAAAAGAGGTTTTGTGGGGATTAAATACATTTAAAGTGCTTAAAATGACACCTGGCAGAGTTAGCGCTCGATAAATAATGGATAGTTTAAATTTTGTTACTTGGTTAATGATCTTGACACCAAGATTTTCCCGCTTCAGTTCAGACTGGACAATGCTGTTAGTTATGCATCACTTTCGTCATGTTAATCACTGTTCAGAAACCTTTAATTCTGTTTATTACTGTACCAAATCTAACTTACTTTAGTTGAGTGCAGGAATTACTGCAAGGCATCAGGATGTCTCATTTTATTTGCTAGAGGCATTTTTTGCGGTTGGGGGTGGGAGGGACGAGCACTGGCGCAGTGAGCCTGACTTTCTAGATAATAGTTCAAAACGGAACAGAGACAGTTCTGTATCCCAGAGGGATTCAGAGGTCTGTGATGCTTGTTCCAAATCCAAGAAGCCGCCAACCTGACCCTCATCCAACCCAGAAGAAACTTCGTTTTGCGAAGGTCACAAGGTCCCCATAAATAACTCTTGGAGTCACTGAAGAAGCTCCTTACCCAGCATGACCTTGTCCCCTTCACTCTCCTGCACTCGGTTCTCGCGGAGACCGCCTTGTGCGTGGACTGGCAGCGCACCCGGCCTGGCCGCATCACGTACGGTCTCTGCTCCCGTAGATAACAGCCCTGGAGGCGCTGAGCCAGGAAGGGCCATCCTGCCTACCTGGGCTGAGGGGGCCGCCCGGAGGACCTCAAAGCTGCGGGCTGGGGCTGCGAGCGGGAGACCACGGGATGAGACCGTGACTGACTGGGGCCCTGGCGGCTGGGCCAGACCGTCGGAGCCAGAGACCTGAGCCCAGGAGCCCAGCGCCGCACGCACCGCCACTACGGGGCCTCTCCGCCGGGCCACCCTCAGTGTCCCCATCACTTAATGCTACCTCCGCCGCTTCGGCCATTGTGTCCCCACCACCCCCACCAGCAACTTGTCACGGGTGGAGCCGCGGCCAGCCAGGGGAGGCTCGGGGTCAGGCCAGCCCGCCCCTCGCCCCGCACCCCCGGGGCGCAAGAACCGGATGGCCACCAAGTCCAGTCCTCCGGTCTTCCTAGACAAGCCCGGGGAGGGGGGACGCCGCACTTCCACCCACGTGAGCTGCAGTCTCCTCCCCAGTCACTGAGCTTGCAAAGATGCAGATCCGGTCTTTGTCTTGGGTGTGCTCCGTCTAGTGTGGTGACTAGAAAGTTAAAATTACTGTGTTGTGGTGGCTGTGGCCAGTGGGAACAGGGTGGAAGCGCTCAACTCCGACTGGGTGTGTGTCAGGGAAGGCGACCGGGGAGAATGAGGTGAACGTGAAGGAGTTGGGAGACAGTACTTCAGTGCCTAAGAAAATGGGCTTGAATCCCAGTTTCTTCACTTACTAGTTTCGGGTCTCTGGGCAAATTACGTCGCCTTCTTGACCTTAATTTCCTGTGTAGAAAACGGGGATAACAGTAGTACCCACCAATTAAGACTGAGCCAAAGAATGCAAGAGGAAATTGGTGGTAAGTCCTTGTCACAGTACCCAACACATGGGAAGTACAAAAAAAATAGTGGAGCTAGGTAAGGAGGGAGAGAGCCCTCCTAGCAGAGGGAACAGCTCGTGGAAAGGCAAGAGGGTAGTGCCTAGGTGCTTGGGGAACTGCAGATAGTTCAGAGGTAAATGTTGGGTTTAAAAAGGTGAGCACTTTGCAGAAAGGTCCCCACTGCAGTATCATGCCTCTCCTTTGTGCCAGTTCCAATGGTTGTAATTTAACTTAAGATTCTAATTAGGGCTTCCCTGGTGGCGCAGTGGTGGAGAGCCCACCTGCCGATGCAGGGGACACGGGTTCGTGCCCCGGTCCGGGAAGATCCCACATGCCGCGGAGCGGCTAGGCCCGTGAGCCATGGCCGCTGAGCCTGCGCGTCCGGAGCCTGTGCTCTCCCCAACGGGAGAGGCCACAACGGTGAGAGGCCCGCGTACCAAAAAAAAAAAAAAAAAAAAAAAAAGATTCTAATTAATCTCTCCTCTGCTATTATAAATAAGCTCCAGGACAGAGACTGTTGTCTGTTTCTGCTCTTCATACCCCCCAGTGCTTGTGGTATATTAGAAGCTCAATAAATATTTATCGAAGGAGTGGGTGAATGGGGCCAGATCAGGACATGTGTCCCCGCTAAGGACTGGGCTTCAGGCTCAGGTTAGTGGGAAACCACTGCAGAAGTCCGGAGAGGGGTGGCACTATCAGGTTTATTCTAAAGAACGATCATTCAGGCTGCTCTGTACAGAAATGGAAGCAGGGAGGCTGTGGTAATAACACGAGATGAAGATGGTGGCTTCTTTAAGTAAGGGCATCAAAAATTAAGAAAAGTGGACTAAATTGGCAGATTATTGGGTAACATTCCCTTCCTCTACTATATTCACACACTCTCTCTCCCCAGGTTGTAGCAGTCTTGTTTCCTATGAAATCTTTACATGGAGCCAACGCTTAACCCATGTTCCAATCACCCCTGTTCCTCAAAGAGATTTGATGCTCTCTCAGCTTTGGTCCTGAGTTTAGTTCTTTAGCTTTTTAAGGTCTCATGAAGGTAAATTTTCATCCTTCAGGCTCTTTTCCCAAAGTTCCAGTGTAGGCTACTCCCTAACAGGTAGATCTTATTCTGTGGCACTCAGGTTTACAAATTGGACAGGAATTTTAATACTTAAGTCTGGTTATGTCATACCAATCAGAAGTATGATTAGTGGTTATACATGAATTTGAATAGCAAAAAATAAAAGAATTATTCTTTAATAAATGCAGTTTGGCAAACAAAAGTTTTTGAAACACAGGGCACAAGGGAGGGCTTTGGTGTTTAAAAGTTGGAAACCACTGCATTAAATTACCTTCAAGTCCATTTTCAATATCCTGCTTATCCTAAAAAACATCACTCTCACTGTACAGCACTATAAATACAGGTAAAGGAGACGGGGAAAGGCTTTTCAGAATAAATTTCCAATTCCTTTCTTTTATAAAAATAGAATGCAAATGTGTTCTGGTTAGCTAAAGGTTTTGAATAGAGTCTGGGATAACTCAAAAAATTTAAGTATCTTTAATTTTTAATCCAAGTGTATCACTGAGGATAGCTATTTTGAATTCCTTTTGCATCTCAAATATATTTAAAGATATTCTGATATAAAAAGACCATTCAGTAATTTATGTGAAGTTGCTAAAGAGCTTAAACCTTTGAGGCAGGTGATGGGGGCAGGCAGGCTCCAGGACCCCTTGTGCCACACATCATCCACAGGCAGGCAGCCAGCTTTCTTTCTTTCTTTTTATTTTGGCTGCACCTCACGGCTTGCGGAGATCTTAGTTCCCTAACCAGGAGTCGAACCTGGGCCCAGGGCAGTGAAAGCACTGAGTCTTAACCACTGGACTGCCAGGGAATTCCCCAGGAGCCAGCTTTCAGGGATGATGTGGATGGGCTTCTCCACTTCAAGACATCCCACTACTGTTCAGGATGCCCCTCTGGGGAAGCCATAGCCCCCAGTGCTTTGAACTTTAAGGGGTCATATTCTTTTTTTTTTTTTTAAATAAATTTAATTATTTATTCATTTATTTTAGGCTGCGTTGGGTCTTCTTTGCTGCACGCGGGCTTTCTCTAGTTGTGGCGAGCGGGGGCTACTCTTCGTTGTGGTGCGTAGGCTTCTCATTGCGGTGGCTTCTCTTGTTGCGGAGCACAGCTTCTAGGCACACAGTCTTCAGTAGTTGTGGCACGTGGGCTCAGTGATTGTGGCTCTCGGGCTCTAGAGCGTAGGTTCAGTAGTTGTGGCGCACAGGCTTAGTTGCTCCACGGCATGTGGGATCTTCCCGGACCAGGACTTGAATCCATGTCCCCTGCACTGGCAGGCGGATTCTTAACCACAGTGCCACCAGGGAAGTCCCAGGGGGTCATATTCTTTACACCAGCCATGGGACTCCACTGTATCTTACACATTATATATTTTGCTTGTAAATACTTCATCTTCTATTTTAACATGATTGAAGTTCTAGATGTCCTTCTATGTGTCAACAGTAATTTCAGTTTTCTCATTTAAACCTCACAATTACACCATGAAGTAGATAATTTTATCACCATTTTATTAGGAAAATAAGGATCAGGGTTACATAATTTGTTCCAGGTCCTGAAGCCAATATGTCGTACTGGGATTCAAACCCACATCTGTGCTCCCTCCACTACACCACGTTGCTTCTCCTGAAACAGTTCATCAAACTACAGTTTTCTATCAGACTCTGGGTTCCCCTTGGGATGCACTGCCACCACCCACATCATACTGAAGTGCTTGCTTAAGTGGCCGCAGGTGACGTGTTCTAAATATCCAAGGGCATGGTTTCTCAACCATGGCACTATTGACACTTAGGGCCAGATAATTCTTTGTTGGGGAGGACCTATGTATTGTAAGATATTTAGCAACATTCCTGGTCTTTAGATGCCAATATTTTCTTCTCAGTTGCGACAACCAAAATGTCTCTGGACACTGCCAAATGTCCTCTCGGAGGCAAAATCACCCCCGCTGAGAACCACTGATCCCCTCTGTGCATCTCACAAGCCACTCCCACTGAGGAAAGATATGAGCTCGAAATTCTTGCCTTACACTGTCCCATTCAGTAACTTTCTTATCTGCTGATTTGTGTAAGTTCATATACAATCTACCAGTGGCTCAGGGTACAAGAAATATTTGACGATTGAGTTTGATTGCACAGATATGCAATGCACAGATATAAATGCAGGGCCTAATTACCAATATCAGTTATCAGGTTAAAGATGACTGATCTCTTTTTTCTTTTTACATTTTCACAAGCTTTTTATTTTTTTAATTTATTTTTTATTTAATTTAACTTTTAGTTCTTGATAAATTTTTTTTAACATCTTCATTGGAGTATAATTGCTTTACAATGGTGTGTTTCTGCTTTATAACAAAGTGAATCAGCTATAAATATAGATATATCCCCATATCTCCTCCCTCTTGCGTCTCCCTCCCACCCTCCCTACCCCACCCCTCTAGGTGGTCACAAAGCACCAAGCTTATCTCCCTGTGCTATGTGGCTGCTTCCCACTAGCTATCTATTTTACATTTGGTAGTGTATATATGTCCATGCCACTCTCTCAGTTCGTCCCAGCTTACACTTTCCCCTCCCCGTGTCCTCAAGTCCATTCTCTATGTCTGTGTCTTTATTCCTGTCCTGCCCCTAGGTTCTTCAGAACCATTTTTTTTTTTAGATTCCATATATATGTGTTAGCATACGGTATTTGTTTTTCTCTTTCTGACTTCACTCCGTATGACAGTCTCTAGGTCTACCCACCTCACTACAAATAACTCAATTTCGTTTCTTTTTATGGCTGAGTAATATTCCA